GCGCGCGCGCGCTCCTCCGCGGCGCGCCGCCGGTCGCGCACGTTGCCCCAGGCCACCACCGCCCGCAGGGACATGGTGCGCGCCTTCTCCGCCGTCAGCTCCTCCCCCGCCAGGGCCTGCACGTGGCTGCGCAGCGCCAGCGCCAGATGCGCGGGCGAGGGGTCTGGGCTGCCTGCCACGGGCGTCGCGGCCGCTATCTGTGGCGACTGGAGTGCCTGGTCGCTGCCGGGTGGGGTCGTCAAACCCGGGGCGCCGGAGCTCGGTTTCCGAGGCCGCCCGCGCCGGGGTTGGTGTGGGCCGGGGGTCGCCTCGCCAGGTGCTGCCTCCACCCCCACGGGGGCGGCGGCAGGGGCGGGCACCGCCGCAGCCGCCCCTGCAGGGGTGGATTGGGCCACTGCGGGCAGGCCACCGCGGGCCCGGCGTGTCCTCACGCCCGGCGATGTCGTGCTGGGGTCTGCGGGGCCGATGCCAGCGGACCCAGGCTCTGGCCCCCGTCGGCTCGGCAGGGGTGATGCCGCCGACCCCACCTGCGGCTGGGCGCTCGAGTCCCCAACAGCTCCTGCCCGAGACCCTGCCTCCGTGACCGCGCTGCGTCCTCAGCGAGGGTGCTGGTGGGCGTGTGCCGCGGCCAGGAGCGCATCTATGGGACGCTTGGTGCTGGCTGGCGCTGTGGATGGGGTGGGGACAGCGGCCCCATCGCCCGTGCGGGGCTCGGCTGGTCTTGCTTCCTGGGCGCTGGTTTGCTGGGGGCGCGGCGCCGTGCTGACCGCGGCAGCAGGGGGGGTGGCCGAGCTCCCTGTGTTCAGGGGGCATGAGGGGGGTGGGGGGTGGGTGTCGCATGAAGGCCGATGCTCTTCGGCACACGTCTAAACACGGCACCGAGCACCTCACAAGTTCAAGCCGCCAAGCTGGTGCTCACCTCCCACGGGTGACGAGGCAGCGGCACCAGCGAAGGTAGCGAGGACGGGAGAGGCTCCCTTGCCTCCGGCTGCCACCCTCTCCGCTCCCTCAGTCCCACCTTCCCTCGAGTCCCCATCTAGCTTGCGACGCTGTAAGCGAAAATTTCACCGTGTGATGATGAGGGAAGTTCACTTCCAAAGGCACCGCATGACACGTCCAGGGCATACCCCTCTCGCGACCCAGCCCGGCACCTCGGGCCCACCTCACCGCTCGAACACCAGCACGGGGAACGAACTTCGTGGACTTGGATTCAGAACTCTTCTTCTCGGTGACAAGCCGATCGAGGGTGCTGAGGTCGAAGTTCATGGCCGGTCTCTAGGCACACTTCACACAGGTCACTGCCGGCTCGACATAAAGAGGGGTCGTGATTCTCTATACAGCAATACCTTCATCAGAATGTAATCTAGTATAGCTTTTCTTCAAGACAGGGTGTTGTCGAAGTGCATGCATGGTAAAGACCCCCATATACAGGATTTCGGATCCCCGACTTTCGGGGGGGGGTCCGGGCGTATCATATCAACCGATGCCTCCGACCCCACCTGCGGCTGGGCGCTCGAGTCCCCAACAGCTCCTGCCCGAGACCCTGCCTCCGTGACCGCGCTGCGTCCTCAGCGAGGGTGCTGGTGGGCGTGTGCCGCGGCCAGGAGCGCATCTATGGGACGCTTGGTGCTGGCTGGCGCTGTGGATGGGGAGGGGACAGCGGCCCCATCGCCAGTGCGGGGCTCGGCTGGTCTTGCTTCCTGGGCGCTGGTTTGCTGGGGGCGCGGCGCCGTGCTGACCGCGGCAGCAGGGGGGGTGGCCGAGCTCCCTGTGTTCAGGGGGCATGAGGGGGGTGGGGGGTGGGTGTCGCATGAAGGCCGATGCTCTTCGGCACACGTCTAAACACGGCACCGAGCACCTCACAAGTTCAAGCCGCCAAGCTGGTGCTCACCTCCCACGGGTGACGAGGCAGCGGCACCAGCGAAGGTAGCGAGGACGGGAGAGGCTCCCTTGCCTCCGGCTGCCACCCTCTCCGCTCCCTCAGTCCCACCTTCCCTCGAGTCCCCATCTAGCTTGCGACGCTGTAAGCGAAAATTTCACCGTGTGATGATGAGGGAAGTTCACTTCCAAAGGCACCGCATGACACGTCCAGGGCATACCCGTCTCGCGACCCAGCCCGGCACCTCGGGCCCACCTCACCGCTCGAACACCAGCACGGGGAACGAACTTCGTGGACTTGGATTCAGAACTCTTCTTCTCGGTGACAAGCCGATCGAGGGTGCTGAGGTCGAAGTTCATGGCCGGTCTCTAGGCACACTTCACACAGGTCACTGCCGGCTCGACATAATGAGGGGTCGTGATTCTCTATACAGCAATACCTTCATCAGAATGTAATCTAGTATAGCTTTTCTTCAAGACAGGGTGTTGTCGAAGTGCATGCATGGTAAAGACCGCCATATACAGGATTTCGGATCCCCGACTTTCGGGGGGGGGGGTCCGCTATCATATCAACCATTCCAGGACATCTGATATCGTGGATGCTTAATCAACAGGAATGATGGCAAGACAGACCTCTCAAATCTGACAAGAAATCAAATTGTTGTTCACAACCGTAAACCAAGTCCCAAACTTCAGGGGTTCAGGCCAGGTGATTGGTTAGCAGCGGGGTCATCCCTGGCGAGATCTGTCTTGAATTTTGTGGTGTACTCTGCCAGGCTCCTCCTCCCGCTGAAGACATTGGGGGAGGTGGGCTGGGGGGCATTGGCCAGCACCAGCAGGCCGGCTGCTACAGCTGCGATCGCTAGCGCTCCTCCTCCCACGGCAAAATTGAAGGTGCCGGAGCTGCGGCCGCCGTCCTGCCTGCTTCCAGAAACGTACTGGCGAGGCTGCATCATGGGTAGGAGCGAGGATAATTGGAGAAAACCGGATCTGGGCAAACTGCAATGGCTCAGGTGGAGCGGCTTCAAGAGACCCATGCCACAAGCCTGAAAGCCCTCGAGCACACTGGAGTATTGGGAACGACTCACATTCCTCATGAGAGACAACTTGCCCATGATTCCAATCAGCCTCCCCTCCTTCGTACCTCCACAGGGTAGATGTTGGCCTGCCCTGCTGAGTCCTTCTCCGTGTACCCGATGCCCTGCGGGATGAGACAGAGGAATGATTGCCTTCAATAGTAGAAATAATACTGCATGCCATAAACGCATGACACCCCCAGCCGTCCCACGCACCGCATTCTTGTTGTTCCCAAAGTCGAGCTGGCGGTCCTTGCCCTCCTTGGTGGATGCTCCCACCGACACTGAACGCGCGGAGGGAGGAGCAGGCTGGAAAGTACCCTTGGAAACACCCCACGCTGCGTTGGGGGCTGAGACCGGGAGGGGACTCCCCAGGTGCGGCACGAAGGGGCGGGCGCCGATGGGCAGGGTCCGAGCCTGGGATAGTCCAGAGGCATTCATGGTCGCCATTCTGTGCTACAGTCAATATTGAACTGGTGATTCAATGGTTTTCAGTATGCTTTGTGCCGGCACCTGCCTGGTGTGAGTCACCGCGAGGCCGTCATGAAGCCGTGCACGGCGCTGCCTGGGGCCCCCACCCCACGCCACCGTGAGATCGGGTTGTCGAGGTTAGCCCACGTGATCGGTCGGGAGGGCGGGTCCTCCAGGCCACAACCCCCCTTAAACATCTTCATGATATCATTCATACCGAAAACCATCGTCCCCCACCACACTTCAAGTTCCCACTGGATTAAAACACGCTCAGTCTGCGCTTCCACCTCCCAGAGCCCTCTCCACGGCATGCACCCTGTGCAGCAGGGTCTCCAGATCGCTGGCGCTGCGCCCGCGCTGCCCCGGCTCCTGCTTGGCGGCCCAGGGCCCCAGGCTGTGCCGGAGGTAGTGCCTGAGGCCCCGGCGCAGCTCTTGGAGGGCGGGCCGCTCCCTCCAGGGCTTGAAGAGGGCGGCCGGGTCGTCGCAGCGCAGCAGCAGGTGCTCGAAGAAGAGGCGCCAGAGGACGACGTGGCGCGCGGACTGCGCCCCCCGCCAGTCCCCCTTCTTCAGGAAAGCGGGGCTCATCGCGCCCTGGGCCACCGCGTCCGCGCACAGCCGCGCCAGGTTGGTCAGCCGGCGCAGGTCCATGTTGGGGCCCACCTCTCCCAGCGCGTCCCAGCAGGCATAGCGCAGCGTGGTCTGGTGCGCGCGGCTGGTGGCGCCCAGCCGCCCCAGGAGCAGCGCGTAGTAGGGGTTGTAGGCGCCCTCCTGCAAGCAGCATAGCACGATGACCCGTACAATCTCTTGCTCCTGGGTGCCCTGCGTGTTTCGGAGGCCCGGGGATGTGAATTGAAGGGGGGGAAAGGGGGGGTCCAGGGGGGGCGCGGGGAGAAAACGAGTGGGAATGGGGCGTCGTTGTGATTTGAAACAGCGATGAGGAATGGAAAGATGAGAGCATTGCCAAGCGGCCCTCTGCTTCATTCCGCCCCACCCGCTTGAATGCAGCCCCCACACTCCCCGGAACCCCTGGAATGAAGACCTGTCCTTCCCCTCCACCTTCCCTGTCCCCACCCACTCACCTTCAGGCCCAGGCGCACAAGCTTCTCAAAGGCGTCCACGTAGTCCTCGCTGCCCATGACCAGGCAGAAGACGGTGCGGCGCACCTCCGTGTTCATGCCATGCCGCGCGGCGAGGCGCAGGAGCTGCGCCGGGGTCTGGCCCCCCGCTCCAGGGGTATCCTCCAGGGCCTCCGCCGCCGCCAGGCTGGCGCCGCGCAGGGAGGGCAGGCGCCCCGCGGCCGCCGCATCGGCGGCGCTGGGCTGCCACCAGAAACCCACCTTGACAGGGCTCAGCACCTTTGACCAGGGGATGCCCCCCACCGCCACCTCCTCCACACCCAGGCCGCGGAGCCACTTGAGGGTGGTGGGGGAGAGCACCGCGTGCCGCCCGCCGTCCCGCTTCCTGCGCGCGGGTGTGGGTGTGGATGGGGTGGGGGTGTGCTTCGGGTAAACCCCAAAGGGCGGGGAAGCGGTGCTTGAGCCAGGTGCGGCCCATCCTCTGCAGTACGCCATGCCAACGGCAACAGATGGCACACGCCTCCCTGGTCCCAGTAACGAAGACCCTTGGGTAGGCAGCACGGCTGGCGTCCGCCTGCCAGCTGTCTGGCCCGCCAGGTCCCAATCGCTGCCAGGCTTGGGATCATACAGCACCACATTGTACGGGCCACTCATCCTCGATACCGCTTCCCATTGCAGCACACCCAGACCCCAACCCACCCCCCTCCATTACGCCTCCCTGTCTTATCCCCACCCTTTGCACACCTGTTGTTCTTGGTGTCCATCACCAGGTCCAGGAGCGCCTGGCCCCTGGCCGACAGCGCGCCGCGCGCGCGCGCGTTGGCCGCGGCCTCCGTCACTGCCACTATGTAATCGCGCATGGCCTGCGGGTCGGCGGCACGCAGGCTCAGCCCCGCCGCGCCCAGTAAGTGGGAGGTGGCGGCCACGTCGGCCTCCCCGAACCGGCGCCGCCAGGCGTCCAGCAGGGACATCACCAGCTCGGCGCGCAGCGCGCCCAGGGCGTGCAGCTGCGCTACCACCAGCGCCAGGTTGCGCGCCGCCAGGGCGTCACCGTCGTCGCGCAGCGAGGCCTCCAGCCGCGCTCCCAGCGCAGATAGGAAGGCCGCGATCACGCCGGCGGAGCGCACGCTGGCCGCCAACCCCGCCACGGCGGCGGCGGCGACAGCCGCAAAGGCCTCGCTGGCGCGCGGGCCCTCGGCCGCCGCGGCCGTCAGCTCGTGCACGACCGCGTCGGTCACCGCACGGCGCGCCTCGTCACGGTGCATGCGCGCCAGCTCGCCCACAATGCCCTGCAGGTTGGACTCGGCCAGGCGGTTGAGCTGGCCGCGCACCGCGCGCGCCACGCGGGAGTCTTGGATGGTGGGGTCGCTGCCCGCGGCCGCCGCCCGCGCCGCAGGAGGCAGGTACCTTCCCACCGCGGCCGGCGGTGAGGGACGAGCAGGTGCGGGTCTGGTGGCGGCTGGCTCCTGGGGTTTCCCAGCGGAGCGCTCGGTGTCCTCGCCGTCCTCCGAGCCTGAAGCCCCAACTGCTTCATCGCTGCTTGTTCCCCCATTTGCCGCACTGCTGTCGCCTGCACCACTGAGATCCGAACCCTCAGGGTCAGATCCTTCCTCCTCTGAGTCACTCATCCCCGCCAGGACCGAGTCAGCCTCCTCGCTGCCGCTGGCTCCAGAGTCTGCGAGGCCATTCAAGAGGCTGTCCTCCTCGCTGCCGCTGGCACCATCAGAGTCGGCCAGGCCATCTGAGAGGTGACCGTCCTCGCTGCCACTGGCGTCAGAGCCCAGGTCGCTGGCAGCATCTTCACCGTCCGAGGCGTAGTCACTCACAGAGCCGCTGTCATTTGACCCAGCGGGCGAGGCAGAGGAGGCTGGAGTGGCTGCCGCTCTGCTCGGTCGGCCGGGCTTGACCCCACGCTCCATGGCTCCAGATGGCGACGATGCTTTGGGAGGCGCAACCTTGGCGCCTGGAAGTGGTGAGAAGGCTCGGGGTTTTGTGGAAGCCTTGAGGCACTCCATGGATTGCGGTGATGTAGAGTGGGTCACATCAATCCCCCCATTTCACGCGCATGCTCTTGCACCACATTCAAGGCTACCACGTAATTTCAGCCCCCCCAGCTCCCCAATCAACCACTCACCACCGAGGACGAGGTCGTCCAGGCCGTCGCCCACTTCCTTCAGACCTCTCCCCTTTTTCATGCCCAGCTTGCGTGCCAGTTCAGCCTGCAGGGCTTGCTCTGCTGCCAGCCCCGCGACAGATCCATCGGAGCCGGTGAGCACCTATGGCCAGGGAAGGAAGGGAAAGGCGACGTTGGAGGCTTAGTGTAGCCAACCAGATGCCGTTTGTACGGGCATCAATCATTTTTTTGAGTGCCCAGTAGGCAATGCAGGTGGCAGGCCGCATGCTGAGAGCCAGACCCCAGCATCCCTCGCGGCACCTGAGAGCCCTCTGGTCCGAGCAGCTCGGTGAACTTGGTGGTGGATCGCTTTTGCTTCGATTTCCGCACGGCAGACTCGTCCCTTCCCCGCTTCTCGCCCCGTAACTGCGGGTCACCACCTCCCCGGCTCCTTCCGCGTCGTCCTCTGCCGAGGCCTCCACGGCTGGCCTCCTGTTCAGAGCCCGTCGCAGTCCCCCGACCAGGACCAGCCGACCTGCCACCCCTGTGGCCACTCTCAGCTCCACGTCCGCCGCTACGCTGAGCATGACCGCCACGTCCTCTTTCTCCATAGCGGCCCCCACGAGCTGTGGAGCTCCCACGACCCCGGGGACTGGCCCTGAACCTCCCGGAGTCCCCTGCAGGGCGGTGCCCTGGGGTGGAATCGGGGAATATCTCCTTCGTGAGCGAGAAGGGCAGGCGCGGCCCTAGGCTGGGGCCCCTTCCACCTCCTCTCCTCGACATGGGGCGAAGGTCAGGCTGCTATCCACCTCGCGGAGCCGTTGGGCATTCTCGCGAGGACTTGCGCACTGCCCAACAGCAGGCACCCCAGGGGAAGCAGCTACCTCGCCTGGCAATGCATGCCAGGATGTTATTGATGATTTAATTTATATGTTGCATATGCGTCGACCATGCGAGTCATCTGAGATGCGTTGGTTTCATCGTGGCACTTTCTGGCCCGGGCGCGCAATGCCACGTCGGCTTGGCGCAAGGTTTCTGAGGCATCGCGGTGCGCCGATATTGGTCCAGACCAGTGCCGAGGCACAACTTCCACTGCCTCTGCAGCGGTATGTCTGGGGAAGCAGCGTCACAGCCGTCGTTTCTCCTCCGTCTGCTCCATGACATAAAGGAGGTCCCCAACTCGCCGTCGGTCGATGCAGAGGGAGGCGGTGCTGGCGGCAAGGATGTGGGGCCACTCATCTGCCTCGGTGCCGGCGTGCGCCTCATCCACCAGAGCGGCGAGCAGGGCTCCCTGTCGGTCGTGCGTATGCCTGGATTTCCACACAGAGGAGGGCTGGGCTGGGCTGGGGGCAGCACGTCTACAGTAGATGCCCGCGCAATATACAAGTCCAGGATACACGATCCTGGTCAACCCCAACCCCTGCAGCTTCATCCAGCCCTTCTGTGCATGCTGGCATGCCGCGTCCGTCCCCGTCATGCAGCCATGGGCTAGTGCTTGCGAAAACCCAGTCCCCGTTCCCCCTACCCCAGCTCACGCGATGTCCTGCAGCCCTGCGATGCACTGGTCCACGCTGGGAATCGGCCCGGCCGGCCTGGCCCGGGCGCCAGCAGTCAGAGCCCGGTTCTGCTGCACCAGGCGCACGCCCTCCTGGGCCAGGCGGCCGAGGCCGGCCGCGCTCTGCCGGGCCAGCCCGAGGGCCACCTGTGCTCGGAGGAGCAGCTCCTGGAGGGCCAGGGTCTGGGCGACGACGAGGCGCTTGCAGACGCCCGGGGTCGTGCCCAGGTCGCCCAGGTTCTCGGGGCGCTCCAGGGCCTGCGCGGCGGGGTAGGGCATGGTGGGCCTGGGGCTGGCGTGGGGCATGGTTGGAGGCCGCGGCACCCAGGGCATGCGTGCCGTCACCACTTGCCGTGAGATGAGCAGGAAACCATCCACAAGGCCCACTCCCTCCCATACTAAACCTCACCGGCAGGCGAAGCACCACATTGGAAATGGTGCGTAAAAGGGAGGTCAGCTGGGCCTGCGTGGGAGAGGGCTTCGAGTGTACAGGCCAAACGCATCAATAACTGCTCTCGACAAATGGCTTCAGGCATGCCTGGCCACGATTCTCAGATCCCACCTCATGCTTCCGAAATGACTCGATCTCCTCCCCGGCCTTCCGATATAATTTCCTGTAAGCAACCAGGATGTCCCCGGAAGCCATTCGATGACCACGGTACAAGTTGCAGGAGCGGTCTCTGCTACGGGACACGCTGCGACATCCTCTTCCGGCCAGAATTCAGCTCGCATGGCCACAATGTCATTGCATCACATATGGATGCAGGTACGTCACGTATGTGGCGCAACCATATATTATTCCGTGTTCTGCTAAGGCCGTCATGGCCCGAATGTTTGGCTGGGCGCCATCACTGATCTACAAACTCCCCTACTCCCCAAAAGCCCCGCTGCAGATTTCAGTGAGAGTTACAGTTGGAAAATCAGTTGCATACTGTACAATTTATTAGATGAGAGGTACATGCATTTGTCGTCGTGCTCATATGGGGTCTGCAAGGTATATATCAGGGGGTTGATGACTCGGATGCTCTACTCCATGTCCTCGTTTGCGAAAGCTGCTGCAATGGTGTCGAGCACAGCCTCAAGGGTGGGGTCGATGTCGAAGAGCCCGCCAAACTCGGCCGGCTTCCTGACCAGGAAGGCATCCAGGGATGTGCCCTTGATCCTCCGGAGGACGGCAGCTGCGAGGCCGCCCAGTGCCAGCATGCCTAGTGCGCCGACGGCCGCCAGTTGAATGTTGGCCTGCACTCCTCCAAACACACCAGCCCGCGGCACGGCGAGCTCTGAATCGAAGCAAAGGTGGGAGGGGCGCCTTGGCTCAATGCTCAAACGTGCTCATCATTATGCTGGACACCCATCACGTCAACATGCCTCTGGCATCTCAGCGCAGGAACCCCCGCCAGATCGAATACTATGCATGCACTTCCGCCGGTCGACTCAGCCCAAAACTGCACTGGGGTCTGCACCTACCGAAAGCAGCTGCGACGGCAAAGCCAATCATGGCAGACCGCCCAGCCAGCCGCTCAAAAGCTGATGACTGTGCCTGCAATCATCAGATAATTGTTGAGCTGGGTCAGCTTGGAGGGGATTGGAAAGCAGAGGGTGAGCGATTGTGAGGAGCAAGAATTTTGCTATACCACCGTTGCCGCGCACCTTCAGCGCCGCGATCTCGCTCATTATGGGCAGCACTCGGCCACCGGTTACGAGTGGCCCACGACCGCCCTGACAGGTCGGCCTGCATGGCCTTGTTCTGGGCAGGGTTGCGCTCGCTGCTTTGTTAAAGGGCTGTTTGAGTGTCGTGGGCAGCACCGGTGAAGGAGAGAGGATGCTCCGACATGAGTACTGCATGCTGTTTCAAGTTTCCCGGGTAGGTTCAAAAGTCCAGATTGATGATTTGCGGCCTCTGAGCTCAAGGCAGAACAGAAAATGATTACTCGGAATTCTTGTTATTTTTGCTCCTGCATTTTGGCCAGCCCCTTGTGTTAGAGAGGTGCTGTGGCTTCGGCGCCTTCCGCACGGCTGACCTGCCGTCGAGTCGGAGCACGCGCGGCACGCCGGGTCCCCGAGTCCCGAACCCTGCCACTCCATCGCCTGGCCGGATGAGCCAGGGGGTGGGCATGCTCAACAACCCAGTAGCTCGTAATCATACTATCCGACATACATGGCGATCTCGCATTAGAGGCAAGTACGTGGTGCCTTGGCCTGACGGGCCGACCGGATGTCATGCCCAGAATCATACGTCATTCTGCACAACGTCTCCAAAAAGCACAATGTGGGGACCATCAGTAGATGTGCCACTGCCTTCAACGTAACGCAGGTACGCTTATCATTCGTCTGGTCTGGAGGATAGAGTATCTCCTCAGCATGCTAGGCAGGGCCCGCCAAGGCTCCTCTCCCACCCCGCCCTACTCCCCATCGCAGATCTGCCTCGTCGGCTCGAATAGGTTCAATGCCTTTGGGAGTCATGGTTCAGATGCCCACGTGGACTTCGGCTGGCATGCCAGCATCGAGGCCTGCTGCCAGGAGCTGCGGGAGGAGAAGGGCGCACAGATCGTTGGCGTGGAGATCATGCCATCTGCCCTCCCCGTGCACTCCTTCCCCTTCCGCGGTCCCACCGCCTTCATGCTGGGGAACGAGGTGCGTAAGCTGTATGTCGTCGGCCGCGTGGACGTCTCCCAGCCGGCCGTAGCCGGCCCACCCATGCCCCTTCCCCCTGCTTCTGCCTCGCAGGGTCAGGGCCTAAGCGAGCGGCAGATACGGAACTGCGATGCCTTCATCTACATCCCTCAGTACGGCGCAGGCACGGCAAGCCTGAACGTGGCCGTGGCTGCATCCATCGTGCTCCACCACTTTGCGCTTTGGGCTGGCTTCCCGGAGCGGGGCCGTGAGGGCCAGAAGTTCATTGTAGCGCCCCGGCCCCAGTCCGCCAGGGGGAAGGGTGAGATGGGAGGGATGATGGTGTCACGGTGGACCGTTCTCAGGAGGCTCTCCTTGGCTTTTCACGGCGGCACAATGGCCATGAGGAGGTTGCGTGGTGATTTTGTGAGGGGGTGTATGGCGATGGCGGCGCCTCCAAGTCCTCCGTACTTCCGCTCGCCCGTCTGGTGAATCTCAAGCTGTCCCAGCCCTGCGCTGTAGGTCTGGTGAAGCCACCTCCGGGCAGGTCCAATGAGGGTGCTGGTCATGGTGACGATGGCCCCGAACTGACATTTGACTTCAGCGACGCCCAGGCGGATTTGGGCGCCCAGGCGGAGTCCCAGCTGACCCTTGTTGACGGATAATGAGAGCTGAAGCTTAGCTTGAGATTGCCGTGTACTTTCTTCATACCGCACTGCTGGGAGGAGCACCCTCCCGTGCAGGCCCTCACCGGTGTATGAGCATGCTACGCGTGGCAAGGCAGGCCAGTAGCAGTTGGCACCGGAGCCCCATACCCCGGCCGGGGTGCCATTCTCACCCCATCTGGAGGAGCATTCGATTACCTTGAGGATCGCTTGTCAATACTGGTTGCCTGGGAGGACAGGATGCAGAACGCTTTCGCGATCCTGTCGGGCGATCAGCCCGACACCGCAACGAGCAAGTCGCGGAAGAATCGGAAGAAGGCCGTGCAGACCGCCCCGGCTGAACCAAGGGTGTTCAAACCAGCCGAGGAGGTCTTCGCGGTTTCCGATGACTTTATGCAGGTCCGCGGGCGGTCACAGGGCAAAGGCCGTGCTGAGTCCGGTATCAAGGCTGGAGGACGGATGCCCACCACTGCCGAGCTGGAGACCGCGGCCGCATCTGCTGACCCCTCCACACGCCCGGCCCTGATCTCGGACTGGCTGAGCCAGGTAGGGTGGTGCTCACTCGTGGCTGGGTGTGGTGGGTGCAGCACTGCAGCCTCCGGGATCCCCGGCTGGCAGAGCATCCGCCCTGCCACTCTCATGGTCCTGTTAAACACACACCGATGCCGCTCCCCATCCAAAACGCCTCCTCGCAGATCTCTAGCCCCAATGCCTCGGCAGCACAGACCTTCAAAGAGGTGGGTGCCGGGGGTGCTGAGTGGCCAACTGCGTGTTTGCGTCCTCACCAACACAGCCCATGCCGCGCCCCCCAGCCGTGTCAACCAGTCCTCACCCCCTCCCCACCAGGCACTGGCGGGCGGCACGGCCCTGGATGCCCTGCTCGCCAGCTTCCTGGCGTCCCCCGGGTCCGAAGCGGAGGCCGACGCCCTGGCCCGGCTGGTGGCGGCGGCCGCGCACGAGACCTGCCCCCCCGGCGTCCCGTCCTCCCTGGTGGCCATGCTGCGCGCGCTGGGCGCCCTGCACGCCAGCGACCCGCTGGGCGGCCTCCCCGCCGCGCCCCGAGCGCTCGCCGCGCTGTGCACGCTGCTGCGGCAGGGCGACGGCCTGGGCTCGCACACGCGCGCCACGGCCTCCGACGCGCCCGCCGCACTCGCCGCGCATGAGCGCGAGCTGGCGGCCGCGGAGGCCGCGGCCCTGCGTGCCGCAGACCCGCGCGCCGCGGCCGCCTCCTGGGCCGCGGCAGTGGAGGCGGCGGAGCGCGGCGTGGGCCTGGCCGCGGCCATCGCCGGCCCCGCCAGCCTGTACAGCGGTCGTCGCAGCGCGGCCACCGCCCCGCTGCGCGCGCTGCGTGATGCGCTGGACGCGCGGCGCGCAGACCTGGAGGCCGCCCGCGGCGCCGGGTCGGAGGCCGCGCAGCTGGCGGCCGCCTGCGCCAAGCAGGCCGCGCGCGACGCGGAGCTGGCGCGGGAGGAGGGCGCGCTGGGCGCGCGCGTCGCGCGGCTGGAGGCCGAGCTGGCCGAGGCGCGGCGCGAGGCGCGCGACCTGGCGTCACGGCGCGCGCTGGGCAACCAGCAGCACGCCCGCACCGTGGACCTGATCAAGGTGTGTGTGGGGGGGTGGGGATGTGTTTCTCTCTTTGGAGAGATGGGGGGATTAAATTGGGTTTGAGAGTCTGTGGGTTAGCCATGACGTGCATGATCTTTCGCGAGTCCGCCATGCGCGGCCCGATCCTGCGTCATGCCAGTTTTTCCACCCTCTTCCCTCTCTCCCGCCTCACCCTTTCCTCCTCAACACACCGACAGTCCGGCGCGGCAAACGCGGTGTCGGTGGCTGCTCGCCTGACCCCCGTCCTCGAGCAGGGGCTGGCGAGCGTGGCGGAGCTGCGCCAGACGCTGGAGCGCCCCGGCACGGCAGCGTCACCGTCGCCCGGCGCGCGCGCGGTGCTGGCCGCGGCGGCCGAGCTGCGGCTGAGCGAGCGCTACGTCGCCGCGCTGTCCTCGCTGCTGGACCTGCGCGCGCGCGGCGCGGCCGAGGCGCGCGCCAAGGCCGCCGACCTGCGCCGTCGCGCGGCGCTGGCCGCGCGCCAGGTGGAGCAGCTGGGGCGGCTGGGCCGCGACGCGAGGCGCGCGCGCGAGTCGCGCGACCGCCTGGAGGCCTCGCTGCGCGCGGTGCACGACGGAGCGCGCGCCTCGGCCGGCGAGGTTCGCGGCTGCGTGGCGGCCTTCGTCTCGCACACCACCGCGCTGGCCGGCGTGGGCGGCGCGGGCGAGCGCGACCGCGCCAGCGCCCCGCGCTTCCTCGCGCTGGCGGCAGAGGTGGAGGCCGCCTTTGCGGCCATCGAGGCGGGGGAGCCGGAGCCGGCCGGCCCCGCCTCGGCCGGCAGCGACGGCGCGGGGTCGGGGGGGGGCACGCCGGGGTCGGGCGGCGCGGCGCCCCTGGGCAGTGTGGACACGCTGCGTCGCCAGCTGGCAGAGGTGCAGGCGAGGCTGGCGGCGCGCGAGGGCGCCCTGGCGGCCGCGGGCGTGGCCACGGGCGGATCCGAGGGCCTGGGAGGGGCGCCCGGCGCGCAGCCCGACGGCCACGGCCACGCCACCCGGGACGCGGGCCGCGCCGACCCGCTGCCAAACGGCGGCCACGAGGCCGTGCCCGGCTCGGTCCAGGAGGAAACGGCGGGTGGGGACTCGGCAGCCCCCGGCGAGGCGCGGGCGGAGGAGCCCGAGCCCAGGAGGCCGGGGGCCAGCGGGCTGAGCTGGAGCCAGCTGGCCGCCACGGCCGCGCCTCGGCGGGGGAACTGACGGAGCGCGATTTCAAAACGCCGACGAACAACCCAATCCCCGTGCAACAGCTGCCCCGCGCATAACGTGTGCTGAGGCCTGCCGGGTCTTGTCCCTGACAAAGTTGACGTGCCCTTTAATCTCGCAGTTTCGCACGGAGAGAGTCGCGAGCGAGTGAGACAGCAGCGACCAGGGCACGAAGAGAGGGGGGAACCCGGCACCGTCTGATCATCACCAGACCTCACGCCAGGAGAACCTTGCCGTTGTCACCTGATACTGTCGAATAGATCACCATGACTGCCTCGGGCCAGGGCAGAGACACCACAGATGACTTTCTCGTGGAAGATGTCGTAGGTCAGTGGGGCTGACCGGGAGACGACGGGATCCGCAACGGGGCATCACCGATGATGGCTTGACATGCTGTCTCCCACCGCATTCATCGGCGGTCGTCCTGACCCTTCCCCCTCCGCCCCCGCAGCTCCTGAGCGGCCAGCTGTGCTTGAGCACGAGACAGACCCTCACCGCCTGGCCCAGCGGCAGAAGCAGGTGGACTTTGGGAAGAACACCCTTGGCTACCAGCGGTACAGGGAGGCAATCCCCAGGTAAGCCCAGCGTACAGGTCAGGAGTTTGGCGTGCACTGGGGCTGACCGGAGAGCAGGGGCCAATTCTTCGCGCTCGTCGTCCGCGAGTTGGCTGGGATGCTGCATGATGCACATGACCCAGGATTGGTGGCTTCTACAGGCGTCATTGGCGCAATGCACCTGAGTTGAGACCTGCGATCGACAGCGCATGAGTGAGCTGCGATCCATATCTTGCCACTCGCATGACGCCCCCGCCCCCGGCCCACACAGGTCTCAGCGCCGGCGTAACAAGGACCCCAGCACCCCCGACGTGCACAAGGCCTGCAGCAAGAGGGCCTTTGACGGCCAGATCAAGAAGTGGCGGCGCCAGCTGCACGAGTGGGACCCGCCGACGCAGGAGGCTGGGGCGGCGGACGACGTGGCTCTGGCCACTGGCGCCGTCATGTCCTTGGAGGCCGCCGGTCCGGCGGGGCGCGAGGAGCCCGCCCCCGGCGGTGACGCGGTAAGGGCTTCGGCGCAGGGAGGCGCTGCATGCGCATGGTGCGCGGGATCGTGCACCTGCACCCCGGTTTCCCACGCTCCTCACGCCCTGCGCCGAGTCCCTGCAGGATGGCCAGGTCATCCCCGGGTCAAAAAAAGGACGGGAGCTGCGTGGGAGCGGGAGGCTCCTCCCCCGTCTCTTCGGACGCAGCGGGACGAACAAGAGGCGGCCCGACCTGGGGAGCCAGGAGGGGGCTGGCGGGCAGCCAGACCCCCGGGCGACAAAGCGAGGGTGGTTCACCGCCACCAGGGCGCCAAGAGAAGCCGTGCAGGCTGAACCCGGGATGCCAGAGGTCGACTACAGGTACTGGCAGGGGAGGCAGGGGGGCTGGATCTGGGCGGGCAGCTGCTCCCGGTTGTCCCATCGGCTTAATGCCCCTTAGACATCTGCAGAGGCAGATCTTGAGTCAAGGACACCCTCCACCCTTGTTCAGTTTTTCGTCAGACGAGGAGGGTGGTGGGTGGACACATGTGACGACCAAGCCCTTGGAGACTAGCAACCCCTCGTAAGACAATGCCGTCCAACCTGCAGCATAGCGTCCCTGGACGGGGATCACATGCATGTCGCCTGCTTGCAGTCCAAGTTTTGCGTCGTGCAGGCATCCTTGCACGTGTAACAATGACCCACACATGGAGGAAGGAGCTAGCGTATCTGGTATACAGGGCTAGAGAATGAAGTAGTGCCCTGCCAGCTGCACAATAAGAGTGCCCCTTCCTACCAGCGTGAGGTCCTTGTAGAACGGGGTGACAGGAATCTGGTATGTCATTCCTCATTCGTGTGTGCGCCATGGGGTACCCATCACCGGGCCGTCAGGCCCCTTACAAGCCAAGCCCCCAAAATGCAGTGTGGGAGTTGAGTTTCGCAATCAGTGTCGGATGCCACGGGCACAACGCAGTGCAGGGTCACAGGTGGAAAGGAGGAAGGGCCCAGTCAGCGCACCCCCCACAATAGAGGGTGGGTGTTACTCGACCAAAGAAACAGCAGGTGGAGGTGGCTTCTTGCTGCAGTCTTGCAGCGTTCTTGCTCTCTGTTGGTGTATCCTTGGGGTGGGATTGAAGCCTTCACCCCCAGTCAGTACTCCTAACAACTCCATCTTGGGCCCTGACCTTGCCCGCCTTGCAGAGAAACTCACAGGAGTCAATCGAGCGCCTTGACGTGGTGCCGGAAGTGACACGGATGGTCCACTTCTAGTCTTAAGTCTCAGTGAGCCACCTTCAGAACGAATGAGTTCGTGTGCGACATAAAGCAGCGAAAATCTTGGCAAAAGTGAGCCAGAGCATTGCCACATCACCAAAATCTGTAGCACAGGAGCCCTGTGGCAATCGGAAAGGGCACCCTGGTGGCTTGTGGGAGGTACCCCAGCCTGGCCTGGCATGGAGCATGACGTCCAAGATTTTGTCTGCAATTGAAATGCCTGTCAGCGGAGCAAGCCCAACAAGGGACGTAAGACTGGCCTCCTGCGGCTCTTGCCTAGGCCGTAAGCCCCCTAACAAGCCGTGATCCAGGTCCAGGTTGCTGGAACTGGCCAGCCCCTTAAACACGGTGATGGGGATCGATGGGCTAATCAAGGATGGGACATCAGGATGGAAAGATAACACATCTGCCAGCAGACGAGATCGGGTAGTTCAGAGGTCAAGCTTATGACCAATGTGAGGTTGAATTTTGAATCTTGAGCGGCTCATACAATATAAAAGGCTGGATCACTCAAGCTTAAAGTTCAACCAGCACGATGCCCATACCCTGGACACATCAAGGATTACCCTGTGAACTCCAGGATTAGGGAAAGAGTGCAAGCTGGAGCTAGTAACAAAGATGACCGAATCACGAGACAGGCAGCCATTCCTGTCATCCAAGGAGCTTGAGGGTGAAGCAGCATAGACTTGGCAGGATTCAGTGGGGTGGGTGTGAGTGCGCAATGGCTTTCCAATCAGGCATTAGAGTACAGTCCCAAGGAGCAGACAGGGATTGTAACCTTGGGTATTGGAATTTTATTTCGAAGATAATGCTGGCTCCACCAGCCCTCGGTCTCTTACTCTCGAGGGGGGTTGTGTCAATGAAGGGCATCCATGAAGCTTCCAGGGAGCGGCGAGTGATGGGCGCGCAGCATGACTTACAAATTTACGAGGGACAGACACGAGTCTCCAGGCACTGCGCAGCGCATGGCTTTTCCTCGTTACTCGTGAGAACAGCATTCAAAGTTCACAGGTCTTCCGTCGTGCGATCAGGACTCCGATCTGCTCCAACCCGCTGGCCCAGCATGGTCGTCCGGCGCCTCCTCCAGGTATCGCCATCCTCATGGAAGCTGGGAAAGGCGCCCCCGACGTTTACATATCCACAACACAGCTCCAATCCTGATACATGCAGGACGATTATCACTGTAGTGGGAGCGACACCCTGCTGGGCTCCGCGAATGTGGGAGCCTCGATCTTCATATTACTTCTCGTGGGGTGCATCTTTGGGGCGGTGTCCACCTCCCTCTCCATGCTATGGTGGGGAAGGCGCAAGGCACGACTCGCGGCTGAGCGTTCTGTGAGTCCAGAAGAGGGTTGCTGTGGCAGGAGGAGCACTGTGGACAGCGATGGATCCTGAGTGAAGACCGCCAGGATTTGGTTGCCCCTGAAACCCTTTTCCTCCATCCCCAAAACCTTGCAGTCAGCCTGGCAGCCCCAGAATCTCGCTTCCCTCCCGGACGTGGATGCCATGGTCCGGGCAGCCAAGACGCCGACCATCCGCGATGGTCCAAAACCCTCCTTCCGCACCGTGCTCTCCCCACCTCCCCAAGCGGCCTGCTCCTCCACACAACCGGGGGGCGGTGCCACCCACACCTCCCCCGCCGCCGGCCCGCTGAAGCGCGGCTGGCAGGGCCTGACCTCCTGGGCGGGCAGCAGCCCGTCGCCCCAGGGTCAATCACCACCGCAAGACAAGCCCTGCCCCACCACCAGCCCCTTCCAGGGTGTACCCTCCTACAATGTGATGACCAACCCAGCAGTCGCCGCGTCCATCGAGGGGCCACTAAGTGGCCAGAAACAGGCGGCCGCCAGCCCCCCAGCCCCCGCAACAGCGGCCGCCGCACCCGAGGATGAGCTCATCGCCTCGGCTGTGTTCAATCCCATGGGTGTGTCTGACGGGGAGCCCTGCCTGCCGCATGCGCGCCGCGTCACCATGGTGGAACATGGGGGCGGCCCGGGCGGCGAGAGGGCGCAGCAGCCCAGCGTGGATTACGCAGAGGCCGTCCACGGGCGCGGCGGCGGGGGGGCAGAGCTCGGTGCCCAGCCCTATGGCCCCGCCCCGGCCGCGGTTGGGCAGGGAGCGGAGGATGTGGAGGTGGCCAAGCAGCACCATAAGCAGGCAAGCCGGGAGGAGGGTCGGGGGCCTGGTTGGCAGCAGGGAAATGATGCATTCCTGTGTCGACAACGGTCGCTTCCGCCCCTTCCCGTAGTACCTGTCGGCCGGGCGTTGGAGACTCCCGCCGGCTGCCTCACATCCCAGCCGTCCCACAATCGCGCAGGAGATGCTGAGCGCCGTGCAGCTGGACTCGTACAGCATGCACGACCTGGACCCGGAGTGGCGGGTGCTGCTGGAGAGTCTGGACGCCAGGCTCAGGGCGAGTTGGGTAGCAAGGGAGGTTGCTTGTCAGATTCAGATGCCCTGGGCTTACTGGGGAGGAGAGCAGGGCCTCCAGCGTCGGTGCATCGGAGTGCTGGTGGCGATTCAGATTCTGCAGCTCAAACGCAGTGCCAGCGCCGCCTGCATTAAGGGCCGTGTCCCGTCAAGCCTCCCAGCAGTCCATCAACCCTCCACACATACCCACCCCCACAGGCTGCGGGCTCCCATCCCCTGTCGGACCGCGAGAGGGCGGTCGCCATCCGCTCCCTGGTGGTCGCCACCGCAAGCAGGTCGGCCGAGGAGGCCATGGAGAAGGCGCTGGCAGACGTGAGGCTGAACCGGCTGACGCACAGGATGATGCGGCGCGCCTGACATGTTGGCTGCCCCAGGCTTTGAAGGATGCTTGTTTGACGGTTCACCCCGCTGCCATTCCCCTTCGTGGCCTGCGTCGAATAGCTTGAGCGCTCCGGCTCGGTTCTTGTACTTTCTTGCGCTCGCAGAGAGGGGTACACTGTTGTTACATGGTGGTGGGGGGTGTTACAGTCGCACAGCACATGCAAAGGCACGATCAGGAGGCTCAGCTGCTGTCCCTGCCGTGTTGAGTCAGCGGAGGCTGCGCCAGGCCGCCGTCGAGGGGCACATGCGTCTGGGACCTCTCACAGGCCGCGGGGACTCTCACAGGCCGCTGGGATCCAGGGCTTTCAGGGCTACTACCTCCCCTACCCCGCGCTGGCCTGCAGGGTCCCCGACTCCTCTTCGCTCCGCCCCGCCGCCAGCAGCTCCGCCGCCGCCGCCAGCTCGGCGGGAGTCAGCTCCGCGCGCGCCAGGGGCAGCGCAGACCCGTGCACAGCGACGAACTCGGTCAGCGTCGTGCGCGCCAGCGCCACGGCCCGCAGCGCGCCGCCCGTGGCGGCCACGACGCGCACCGCGGCGTAGTCGCCCGGTGCGAGGCGCACGGGGCGCGACCCCGGCGCCAGGCCGCCCGGCACGGCGACGTCAGCGAACAGAGCGCGCTTGAAGGTGTCGGTGCGCCCCGTCAGCACCGCCGGCGAGCGGCGCGACGCGCCCTCCACCAGCACCAGGTGCGTGCGCCCCCGCTCCTCCGCCGCGCGCCGGTGCAGCCCTGCGCGGTGCGCGGCCACGAGCTCGCCCAGGCGCCGCAGCTTCTCGGCGGGCGCCACGTCGTCAGCCAGGTGGCGCGCGGCGTGCGTGCGCTCGCGGTCGCTGTAGGCGAAGGTGAAGGCGGCGTCGAAGGCATGGCGCACCATCAGATCCAGGCTGGCGGCGTGGTCGGCAGGCGTCTCGCCGCAGAAGCCAGAGATCATGTCGGTGGAGAGCGCCACACCGGGGAGCGCGGCGCGGACGCGGTCGACCAGCGCGTCGTAGGCCTCGCGCGTGTACCCGCGCCGCATGGCCGCCAGCACCGCGCTGGACCCGCTCTGCGCGGGCATGTGCAGCTGGGTGCAGACGTTGGGCCGGTCCGCGATCACGCGCAGGACGGCGTCGGAGAAGTCCTTGGGGTGGGGCGAGGTGAAGCGCACGCGCAGCTCGGGGTCTATCTCGGCCACGCGGTCCAGCAGCTCCGCAAAGGACACCGCGCCGGCGCGGCGGGGGCGATACACGCTGCGGAAGCCCTGTGCGCGGGGTTGGGGGTGTGGAGGGGGTGGGAGGGTGAGAGGGGGGTGGGTTGCATATGGACGCAGGGACTGGGTGAACAACGAGGCTGGGATCCCCAAGGGGCAGACCCCGCATGCGGATTTGACCGCGAAGGCCAGCTGCCATGCGTCGAGACAATGCCACCAGCTTGTATACTCAAACATCGCCAACACCAGAAGCCCTTGCCTGTGCATAGACTTCCTCGTCTGGGGCACCGAAGGTGGCGCGGGCCGCCTCGCCGGCAGCGGAAAAGTCGGCGTAGCTGTTCACGTTCTGGCCCAGCAGCGTGACCTCCTTGAAGCCGGAGTCGGACAGGCGATGGACCTGCACGAGAAGGAGGGGTTGTGGTGGATGCAGAGGGTGGGTGACGAGCCACGATGTTGAAATTTCTCGAGTAAGCCATGCAGCAGGCTGCGGCCAGCGGGGACAAATCCTCTGGGCATGAACGTCCAAAAACAAGCCCTGTCAAGAGCCTCGGAAAGACTAATCATGCCCCTCACGGTGGATCTGCCGCCCCGCCGGATAGGGCGGGGCAGGCAGTCAGGCGAGTGTATGTGTTCGTCATCGGCAACAAGGTAAGACCAATCGCCGTGTCTGGAGGTAATGGTGCTGACACCAGGTGCCATCGCAGTGCAGGCACGATGGTCTGCCCACCTGCCATCCAAGCAGCTGCCCTTCCCATCGATTTCCGGCCCTGCCTGGCGGCACCCAGCCCACCTCCTCCAGGATGCTGGCCAGGGGCCTGGAGCGCTCCCGGCCGCGGACGTAGGGCACGATGCAGAAGGCGCACATGTTGTTACAGCCTCGCATGATGGAGAGGTAGGCGGAGTGGCTGCCGCCGGCGCGCAGGGGCGCCACGTCGGCGTAGGTCTCGTCGGCACTGAGCTGGACGTTGATGGCGGTGCCCGCGCCGCGGCCCGACACCAGGTCGATGAGGCGAGGCAAGTCGCGGTACGCGTCGGGCCCGGCCACGATGTCGACCAGGCGCTCCGACTCCAGCAGGCGGTGCTTCAGCCGCTCAGCCATGCACCCCAGCACCCCCACCACGGGTCCGGGGGAGGCGCGGGGTGCAGCGCGCTTCAGGTTGGAGTAGTAGCCCAGGCGCTGCCAGACCTTGGCCTCCGCGTTGTCGCGAATGGCGCAGGTATTGAGCAGCACCACCGAGGCGGCGGCCGGGGAGTCGGCACGGGAGTAGCCGGCGCTGGCCAGGATGCTGTGCACCACCTCCGAGTCGGCGCTGTTCATCTGGCAGCCATAGGTCTCCATGAACACGCTGCCCCGGGTGGAGGCAGGGGCGTCGCCGAGCTGGGCGGCGGGGTGCCGGGGCTGGGAGGCAAAGTCCTGCAGGGTCAGGCCATCCTCGGGAAGCCATCGGCTGGCGGTGGATGCCTGGCGCAGGGGGCCCAGATGCCGCAGCACGCCCCGCTGGCATGGGCCCGTCACGCTCATCCTGCGGGGTTGCGCCCGGAGCGTGACCTCAAGGCACCGCGATCATCGCATGTGTGGAGGAAGCTTAATGTACATGATTGCATATAGCATACAATGATCCGATTGCATGCAATGGTCAAAGCAGCCCCATCACACTGGTTCATGCTGCAAGGTGCAAACGGGTGGTACCGCAGGTCGGGATGGTACCCTCATAGTTCGACCTGTTCCTCGACAGGCGCGCCATACCCGACACTGGGAAGCGTGTTTCTGGCTGCATTGTCGCATCCTCAGACACGGGCATAAGGAAGTGGTTCATTTTACAGCCGATGAGTCCAGTCCACTCGTTGCCCTAGCTGCCTCTGCAATACTCCGCACCGCAATCTACTGCAAGGAAATCCAGGCCGGAAGTTTGATCCGCACCTACACTCGCACCCAGACCCGGAAATGTTGTTGTAAGGGGCTTCCGGGACTCTGGCCGCACCGATATATGGCGCATTGCACCATCACGTCCAAGAATGTGTCTTCCCCTCGCGCCCTCGAAATTGGCTGGGGCGAGGACAGGGAGCTCAAGGACGACAATTACACGTGAGTCCCTGGAGATGGGCGATGGGGAGATGTAACATGGAAGTGTACTGCCGGGGCATACGTGTGATGATGTCAACCAGCGTTGCCTTGCCCCACCACTTCGATACTCTTGCGGTTGCACACAGAAAGCTGTCGGTGATCGATCTGATCCGTGAGCGCTGGGGCTGGCTCCTGATCTTCTTCGGCGGCCTGGTGCTGGCCGCGCTGGTCGTGGAGGCCTTTGAGGACGTTTTGAAACACAACGTGGAGCTATCGTACTTTGTCCCCCTCCTCATTGGGCACGGCGGGAACACCGGCAGCCAGAGCAACGCCACCGTCATCAGGTAGGAAGCCAGAGCTGGTGTTCCGGGTGTACGAGTGGATGTCTGGGTGGCGGCCCTCTGTAGAAGCACCCGCTGCGCGTGAGCTCGACGTTTCACGCCCGAGCTGGGAGGCTGGTCACGCTGGGGACCTCTGGATCATGCCATACTTCCCATCCTCCCTTTCCCCGGAAAAACCATCGCCCAGTCCCGACTCGCAGGGCGCTGGCCTTGGGCCACGTCAAGCCCAGCGACTACCTGCGCGTCATGGCCAAGGAGGCCGGGGCAGGGACCTTCATGGGCGCCATGCTGGGCCTCATGATCCTGGGCTTCAGCTTCCTCTGGGACAGCATCTCCACCCAGGTCGGCCTCGTGGTCGCCATCTCCCTGCCGGTGAGCGGGGTTGGAGTGACGGGGGAGGAGCGCGAGGGGGGAGGAGGTTGCTGGCCAGGAGCACACACCATGCACGTGCATTCAGGAGTGGGCAGGCAGCGGCTCGGAGTGCGGGGCTGGGGCGCCGATGCCGCCATCTCGGTGCGGCCAGGCCCTGAGATCAGGTGCGCCAGCCTCCACTCTTCCCCGCTTTCTCCACACCCCGCAGCTGGTCTCGCTGTGGGCCAACGTTCTGGGCGGCGTCTTCCCCCTGCTCTCCGCGCGCTTCGGCTTCAACCCCGCCGTCACCAGCGCCCCGCTCATGACCACCGTGGTCGACTCCTCGGGCCTCATCATTTACTTTTACATCGCCAAGATCGTCATGAAGATGTAGGGGGCGGGACGCGCCCCGCAGGAGGCGCCCCGGCCTGAACAGGGCCGCGGCAGCCTGCATGCAGCGAGCTCCACCTGTCTCCCGTGAACCCTCAGAACGCAGCCTGCCCGTCAGGTCTCGCACGTGTTTTGTCACAGCACCGCTGAGCGCATGGGTCACCCCTCACTGGGCCACCACATCCCCGTAGGCGTTCAGGTCCAGGGTGAAGGTGGCGGAGGCGCTGGTGTCCGGGTGGCGGCACACCCCCACCAGCGCATCGGCCTTGTCGTAGAAGCTGTCCTTCAGGCTGATCACGATGCCCTGCGTGGAGATTGGGGTGTTGGACAGGAGGGTGGTGTCGAAGGTGCGCGCCGGTCTCAGGCACGGTGAACGCGGGCGCCGCCGTGTCAAGCAGGTGGGGCGGGTGGGTGCTGAGTCGACACGCGGGACCCATGGACTGCGCGGGGTCGGGGTGGCAGGCTCCCGGCTCCCTCCTCCCGCGATCGCACACCTGGAAGGAGCCGTCGGTGGAGCGGCGCGTCATGTGGCGCAGGTAGTTGGCGACCCGCACCACGTTGGCCGCGTCCAGGGCCGCATCCACCTCGTCCATCACGAAGAAGGGGCAGGGCCGGAAGCTGGCGGGAGAAGTGCGGGGTGGGATGGGGTGGGGAGGGGATGCAGATGGGGCGAGGAGAGGACCCCTGACGCTGGCCGCCAAGCGTGCGAAGCCAGGGCCGACACTGGACCCCAGACCTGGGCATGAGACCCCCTCACCCCGACCACCAGACCCCACTCGACGCACCTGAGGACGGCGAAGAGGAGGGCCAGGGCCGCCACGGTCTTCTCGCCCCCGCTCAGCGCCTCCATGTCCCGGAAGCGCTTGGTCGGGGGCATGGCGCTGAACTTGACCCCGGCGCAGAAGGGCTCGTCCGCACTGTCCAGCGCCAGGTAGGCCTGGCCGCCAGAGGGGTGCACCGCGCTGCTCGTCAGCTCCTGTGCCAGGGGAGGGAGGGACGAGGAGGGGTTCGGTGGCACTGCGCGCGCTGGCCAGGTGAGGGTGCCCTGGGTGTTCGGAGTCTGTGATCGGCTGGGCGCCAGGGTTGACCTCGACCTCCGTCAAAGTCAACCCCCACCAGCACCAACACACTGCGCTGCCCATCCCAGAGGGGCCTCCTCGCCTTGTAGATGGGGTCGATGCAGGCCGCCACGTGCTCAAAGGCGGCGGTGAAGGCGTCGTGCCGAGCGGCACGCACGGCAGCAAAGGCCGCCGCGGCAGCTCGCTCTGCGCGCCGCGCGGCCTCCAGCTCCTCCAGGTGCTCTCGCTCGCGGGCGCGCACCGCCTCGAACTGCGCCGCGGCGCGCAGGTTGGGCGCCAGGCGGGCCAGCGCCGCGCGCAGCGAGGCCAGGGCCTCCTTGTGCTCGAGGTCGAAGCGGCCGCGCGCCGCCGGGTCGGTGCTCCTCAGGTTCCGGGGCAGCGCGCCAAAGTCGATGTCTGCAGGTGTGGGTGGGGACGGGGGTGAAGAGGGAGGAGTGATGGAAGGTCGGAGAGGGGAGGCTGGGCGACTGGCCCTGGCTCCCTCCAGCCGACCGTTGAAGAGCTGGTTGGGTGCATCATTAGGCATTTCCTGGAGAGGACTAAACTCCATGCCCACTGCACTGCTGATCATAGTCTCGTCACCCTGTCCTGGAAGGACTCACCAACCAGCTGCCCACCCCACCATCACCTGCTGCCGGGGAGTCGGCAGCCTCCTCGCCGTCCTCCTCCATGGCCGATAACGGCGTGGCCGCCCGCCCCATGCGCGGGAGGGGCACCTGCTCCCTCTCCGCCTCCTGCGCCACCTCCACCTGCCGCGCGGCCAGGGCGGCTGCGTTGCTCGAGGCGGCCTTCAGCGCACGCTCCGCTGCAGCGACTGTGGCGAGGGCAGTAGGTCGGAGGATGGTCTCAGGATTGCGTCTCCAGGACGAGCGGGAAGGGTGTTCCTGAATCTTGACAATAATGAGCCAGGCATTCTTCTGTCCCGTGCCCTGCGCCATGGATTGCACTGCCCCTACTGCCTGTGTCAGCCTATTGTGCGCATCACGCTGATCCCCAATCATCTTTACAGCAACCTCCCCCTCCCTAGCCCCAGCAGCACCTTCTGCAGCTTGGTTCAGGGCCACCACCTTTAGCTCCCGGACCGAGGCGTCCAGCTCATCAATCGCCGCGCGCAGGCTGGCGCTCTCCTCCTGGGCCGCCGCAAGGCGCTCCTGCCCGCCCTTGCTACTCTCCAGGAGCTTTGCCTCGGCCTGGATATCAAAGGTGGGCGGGAAGAGCAGCACGCTTGTACTCACGAGGGTGCGCAGGAGCCAGCGGTCTGAAGGAAGAGGCACATATACCAAGATTGCAAGAAAACTACTTCAGATGCTGACAAAAAGCTATTCATTACAGCCCTCGAGCTGACGGCTCACTCGGATTCCCATCCACACACCTCGTTCAGTTCCCCCTGGGCAGCCTGCTCCGCTGCCAGATCGCGCTCGAGGCCAGCCACGGTCCCGCTGATATCAGCGCGCCGGTCGTACTCCAGCTGGCTGGTCAGCTTTGAGATCTGGGGTGAGGGGGACGTGCATGCATGCGAGGGAGCCTGAAAATGCAGTGCTGATCGATGAGGACACTGAGGAGGGTAGAAAGGCGGGGGAGATTTGCATGCGCCCTCAGCTGCACATTCCCATGCTATCGAGCCCGGGAGGCACCTGGGTGGTGAGCTGGAGCCTCTCCCGTGACGCCCGCTCCGTGCGCATCAGGTGGTCCTGCTCCCACTCGCGGATGCTCTTGACGCCGACTTTCCTGTGAATGGCATCGAGCTTGTTTGGATGTGAGAGGGAGGCTTTCACGGGTTGGCAGGACGCTCGCGTGTGTGTACTGGCATGTTTCCCGAATCCATAGTCCATGCGAGTCCCACACAGAGCCAGCATGGACCCCGTCAGATCCCTCTACCCACCTTGAGAAGGAGGCAAACACGCGGTCGGTGATCTGGTGGATGGATGCCGTCAGCCTCTCGATGTCCTTGGCCCGCGCCTTCATGCTCTGCTGCTGTTTGGCGGTGAGGGGAGCCCTGACCGCACGCTCCTGAAAAGGATGCATTGTGAAAGTGACATGATGTGAAAGTGGGTCTGTGACGTCATGCTACAGACCCATGGACCTCATCAAAGCATGGGTTCAGTGAGGGTCCCAAGACGCCAGCACCCTAACAAGCCTTGCGCATTGAAGGTCCACCCACGCCCCAGCCCACCTTGGTCAGCGCGGCCAGCTGGCCCTTGACCTCCTGCACCCTTTCCTCCGCGGCCTTGACGTCCACCCGTGCAAAGTGGAGCTCATTGGTGGTTTTGCTGGAGAGTAGGAAGGAGAAATGTTTGAGGGTGGCGCGAGTGTGGAGTGGTCGAGAGATCCAGGATACCCCGGGGGGTGGTGTGTCAAGACCTCAGCACAGCGTCCAGCTGTCATTGTAGGCATTGCCCACACCACCATGTAAGCAACCTCCTCTCCAGGCCCCAGCCCCTCACGTGAGGCTTGTCTCCAGCTCCTGCGCCCTGGTGACCAGCTGGCGCGCCGTCGGCAGCCGTGCCAGCTCCCCCTCCAGGTCGGCATGTTGCTGTGGGGATCGGGTGATGCAGAGTTGGGGACGCTGAGTCAGCGCTGGACCGGCAAAAACCGAGGCGCCAAGCCTGGTTGGCCACAAACGCATGACGCCCTTCTCCCTCCATGCACAGAGGCATGGCTTGCATCCCACCGCGCACATCCCTCCTTCCCCCTCAGGTGGCCCACCTGCTTCATGTTCTCCAGGGCCTGCCTGTCCCACTTCTGGGCCCTGGCCTCCAGCCCAGCATACACGCCGCCGGAGATGATGCCAGACTTGTTGATCAGCGTCCCGTCCATGGCCACCACCTGGACGCGGGAGGGGGACCAGGGAGGAAATGTTGAAAAGCAGTGGATTGCTCGCAAAGTCAAGCAATCGGGTCAGGCCAGCCGGGAGCGGGGGCCTGTCCAGCCTGTCCAGCAGCACGCAGCATGAGAAATTAAACCCACCTTCCTCCGCATGCCGGGCGTGCCAAAGGCCAGCTCCCGGGCCTCCTCCACCGTGTGACAGACCAGGGTGCTCCTGCGGACATGTTGGAGGAAGGAATCTGGTGACCCCTTGCTGGTGCACCACGTCCTCATCGAGGCTGGCATGCCCAAGGAGCATTGCACCCATAAACCCCACCACTGCCCTCCCCAGGGCCATGCAGCGCAACTCAGCGCTCCCGCCCGTCTAAGCCCTCCCGCCCGTCTAAGCCCTCCCGCCCGTCTAAGCCCTCCCGCCCGTCTAAGCCCTCCCGCCCGTCTAAGCCCTCCCGCCCGTCTAAGCCCTCCCGCCCGCCTCACCCCACGATGCCCTTGAAGACACGGACCAGGGTGGGGTCCTTGATGTCCAGGCACTGGAGGGCGAGGCGTGCGGACCCCGGCAGGGCCCCCTGCCGCTCGTCCACGTCCTTGACCTGGGGCCAGGAGTGGAGGGGTGGCAGGAAGGCTGGTTTGGAAATATTCAGCCAGGCTGCTGCATGAGGGTCTGAGACCGGAGGCAGCGTTCGTAACACAGCATCAACTGGCTCATCCAACGGTGCGATGAACCCTACTCCAGGGTGTCCCACTCGCACTCTTCCCCACCCACCAACCCACCCTGAGGCTGGCGATGGGGAGGAAGGTAATGGGCGGCACCCGCTGCTCCTTGGCGTACTGGATGCACTTCATCCCAACCTCATCTACATAGAGGGCGGGGAGGGGACGGAAGTGGCAATATGCTGTCCAGGAGGCTACTGCTGGACCTAGTCATGGTGCTCACGCCCAGCTAGGGACCCCTCGTCCTCTGTCCGATTACTCGAACTGCCCGTACAAGGGCATAGAACGGCTACCCAGATTTGCTCTTCTCCTGCCACATTACTATACCTCCCCAACAGCCGCACCCCACCGTTCCACCCCCGCAGGTATGCGGCACGCAGCACCTGTGTCCACCACGACGGCGTCAAAGTCGCGGCCCATGACCACCGCCAACGCCAGCTTCCACTTGGCTTCCACCACGTCCGCCAGGTCGTGCACAAACCCGTGCACCCCTGGCGCAGGTGTGGGAGGGATGCTTGGTGAGCGACATGGAGTGACATCTTGGCAGTGGTGGTGGGCAGGGAGGTGGCCCCCCACAGGCCAACCACGATTTCGCAATGGCCATGGCCCAGGGCTGACATCTCTCAATCTGGGTCGGGAAACAGCGCTCGGTGGTCCCACCTACCCCACCCCCCCCCTCGACTCCCCTGCCCACCTGGAATCTGGCGGCGCATGGCGGCCACCACCTCGGAGGTGCGCTGCTCCCGCGCCCCCTCGCGCTTGTCGGCCCTGGCCTCGCGGATGGTGTTGGCCAGGTCCTCCGCCCGCCGCGTCAGCGCCTCCCTCTGCATGAGTGAGAGGTGAGCGAGCATATGGGCGTGACGATGGAGCCTCCCAGCTGTACATGTTGAGGAATTTCTTGAGCTTCCTCCATCCTACCAACACAGCAGTGTGGTGCAGCATCTCATGCATCTGGCTAGTGCCTGAAGCAATGCCCTGGCACTGCTCCCCCATGGACCCACCCCCCACCCACCCCACCCACCCTGGAGTCCACGCGCCGACGCTCCCCACTGGCCCCCTCCCGCTCCGTCTGCAGCGTCGCCAGCCGACCCGCGAGCTCCTGCACCCGCTCCTTGGCCGCGGCCAGCCGCTCCTCGGCCTCGACACGCTCTGTCTCTGTGGCGATGGATCGCGGCGGCGGGCACAGGGTCTCATGCGCAATCCCAAAGTCGGCGGAGGTGAGCGTATGCCCCACTGCCAAGGCCTGTTTCCCCCCGACACATCTCCACCCACCCAGGCCGGCGATGCGCGCATCTACAGCCTCCAGGCTGGCCTGCGCTAGGCGCTGCGCCTCCTGCTCCGCCTGGTGCGTGGAGGAAAGCGCGGCGCGATCGAGCTCCAGTGCCGACACCTGGGCCCCCACCTCGGCCTTCAGCCGGGCGTACTCGGCCAGCAGCGTCTCCGACATCGCCAGCTCGTCGCTCGAGGCGGCTGCCACGTCGGCGTCCAGCTGGGCCAGCGCTGGGGTGAGATGGGGGAGGGAGGCGGTGTGGGATGTGAGGCGCTGCATCCGGGTCACAACCTCACACTCGCCCTGCCCAGCGGAGCACACGCCCGCGCTGCACCCAGGCACACACTTCCCCTGCCCACCCACCGTCGTTCAGGCTTTCCAGCTGCCGCTCCAGGGCGGCGTGCCGAGCCCTCTGCTCCTCCACGCCATGCCGGCCCTCCTCCAGCTGCTTCTGCAGGGACGCGAGCCGCTTGGCGCCGCGGCTCAGCTCCTCCCGCACCCTGATCAGGTCGGGACTGCCCCGATCCAGCTCGGCCGTCATCTTGCGGATCCTGGTCTCCAGGAGCAGCCGCTTCTTGGCCAGCGAGGCCTGCTGGCGGCGCTGAGACTCCAGCAGCGCCTTGTTGGCCTGCAGAGGTGGTTGGGGTTGGAGAGTCGGCGGCATGACCCCGCAGGCTGTGCCTGGGCATTGATCCTGCGCAGAGAATGCATCGACACCCCCGCAGTCGCTGCGGCAGGGAGGCAGGCACGTGCCGTCAATGAAAATGTACGACAGGTGCCAGCACATGAAAGAGAGTGGGGCCCATCCTTCAAGGCACACCTTGATGTCCTTCTGGATCTGAGCAATGCCCTCGCGCTTGGCATCGGCCTCTTGCCGGGCAGCAAGCTCATCCTGACGAAGGTGGAAGAGGCTCCACAAAAAGTGGGTAGCGCGCCGCTCGTCCTGGAGAGCGAAATTGGCGAGGTGGGAGATGTTTCAGGAATGTTGGCAGTCCCTTCGATATCAAATGTGGCTAGGATTTTACGATCACAGCAATCCACTCACGATTTCTTTCTGGAGGGCGATAGCACGATCTGCCTCCTCCTTCTCCTCTTTCTTCTGCTTTTTCTCTGCAGGAATGTGGGAAATGTAATTGGTTCTGAGGAGAGGGGTGACAGAGCTGGAGTTCATGAATGGGATGTCCTGCCAAGCAGTCAATCGCCTGGCCCTGGAAAATAGCGTCCTTGGTCATGCACCATACCACACCTACCCAAGCCAAGGCTCCTCACCATGTGCTATCGATTTCTTTGCTGCGTGGATGACTGAGAGGCGCGCTTCAGCTGCTGCCCTTTCCTGGTCCGCTCGTTCATACTCCTGCGAGCAAGCTTAGGGGGAACATGCATGACATCGAGTGGACAACATGTCTGCGTGTCAGCATGGTCATATGTTTGAAAGAAGGCTCAATGAGTGATTCGACCTGGGGCCTACAGATTCAACGCATGACACCCTGAATCTTGCTCCAAGGACACATCACACTCACCTCTTTGTAAGCAGCAGACCCCGAGATCTGCTCAAACATGGCTGTGAGCTCAAGTGGTCTCATCTGCGCCACATTCTCAATGTCACCCTGCTTGCATGGGCATAGTTAGGGTGGAGCAAGATGGGTTTACTTTGCAAGAGTTTTTCAGAGATGAGGAGATGGTTGGTCACTTGTCAATTGAGCTTGCTGTGAGGGCGCCCGCTGAGAACGAGTTTCAACAATCTCAAGCGACACCAGGGTGCCTTCATCAGGGAACCGAATCATGCCTGAGCGGCGGGCTTGGATGTGTGCCCAATGTCCATTTAACCCTCATGACCCCACCTGGAAGACGAGGAAGGTGCGTGCTTTGACGAGGACGCCAAACCCCTCGAGGCGGGTGTTGTATGCCTCCAGCGTGACTTGCTTGCCATTGATACGATACTGACTCGTGTGTGTGCTGCCGTCGCCTGAGGCCACTATGGCTCGAGTGAAGTGCACCTCCTCGGCCCCTGGGTCCCCAGGCTGGAAGACCAGCGTCACCCGACCAGTCTTGGGCCTGCAAGGTGGGCGTTATGTCTTGCGGTAAGCTCTTCTGGACGTCGATTTGGTCTTTCAGAGCAATGGTAACCAGCATCACACGATTCTTCTGCGGTATGCAACGTAGCATGAATATCACGGAGCCAGCCCCACCGTCACCTGTCCTCCGGCGACTGGCTGTCGGAGTTAAAGTACAGAAGCTCGCTCAAGCTGCCTCGCAGGTGCGCTGTGCGCACACCCAGAACAAAGCTTATGGCATCCATGACATTGCTCTTGCCACTGCCGTTCGGACCGATGATGGTGGTGAAGTCATGGAAGGGTCCGATGACGGTGGTGCCGCGATACGATTTGAAATCCTGGACCTCCAGACGCACGACGCGTCCATAACTGCCAGGCTCCATAATGGTATAGTCAAGTTTTTGTTTCGTCGTAGGCCCGGAAAGACGCTGGTGGGCGCTTATGCGCTCTGCGCCAGATCGTCCGCCTCAGGGTGGTGGGTCTCGTGGAGTGCGACAGTACTAGACCAGATGGGGATGTGTCTAGCGGTGCGTGACATGTATGGCATGCAATCATGAATGACGATCCCTGCTGCATGCCCTGCGCATGCCGGGAATGCTTTGTTCATGCTGCACGATTCGTATTCGGGACAGAGCATGCCGAGCACGCGAGGGAGACGATCCGTTTCAAGGCAGCGCGTGACAGACGGAGTGGTGTGGGTGTGGGAGGCGCTGGTATAGGGCTTCACCACAACCAGGTCTACAAAGAGGAAATAAAATGCAGGCGGGATCGGGGACCGACCGTCTGCTCCTGCAGACGGTGAACGATGTGCTTCGTGCACATGAGGTGGGTGTGCTGGTGTTTTGCTCGGGCTCCTAAGCACATGATTGCTTTCCTGCCTTATCCCTCGATGGCCATATTATCGCATTTGTTTGTTTTACGTGACAAAAGGAGCCTTCCTGCTGCGTTATGTACATTTCTGGCCAACCCTATTTCTCCACTTGGCGTGCATAACAACACCAGTATCTTCTGTTGTTTGCTCCCCCCTCCCACAACCCCTCACCCCCCCTTCACATGTTCGACCACAGACCCGTGATGCCCTGGCCACTGCAAGCCTGGCCGACCTCAACTCTTACACCAAGCGCTTTGCCCGCCTGGCCGGCCCTGGGAGCGGGGAGATCGATCTGCCCGCCCTCCTCCACCACTTCGACTCGGAGCTGCTGACGGGCACAGCGTTGCAGCGCATCCTGGAGCACGTCGGGGTGGCGGGGGTGGCCCACGTGACCCGGGGCCAGTTCCTCGCCGTGGCCCACCTCGTGTGCACCGTGCTGCAGCAGGTGCAACAGGCGCTGTTTGAGGGCGAGGCGTCAGATGGGAGCCTGGCCTCCCCCACTCCGGCGGCCAAGCACGCCAGCCCCGCCACCTCCCAGCACAGCTGCATCGCGCGGCGCCGCACCGCCAGCGGGCCGGGGGCGAACTGGAGCATCCGGGCCGAGCGGGGCGCCGCCCGTGGCGCTCGGCGCACCCACCATCCCACCGTGGCGGAGCTCCTGAGCCAGGCGGGGGCGGAGGAGGGCAGCCAGGCTCCCTCTTGTAGCGCGGTGGGTGCAAGTGGAGACGAGGCGGACCCTGGTTTTCTCATGTGGACCTGCTCGGATGCTTGGCTGTCCGGCTGTCCAGCGGTGGATGGTGCACGAAAGAGGTGGACCACCACCACCCCACTCCCTCCCTCCCCTCTCTGCTCATCCCAGAGTGACGAGGGCAGCCGCAGCGCCTGGCAGGCCTTTTCTGGCTCGCTGGAGGAGGTCTCCAGCGCCAGCCTGGACTGGGAATGCGTGACACCCACCAGCCGCCCCCTGGACCTGTGGAGCCAGGTGGTGGAGCGCCCCGGCGCCCCCGCCGTCCCGCGCGGCAGCCCGGAGGCCGCCGCGCGGGACGGCGCACGCACCGCCGAGGAGGGAGCGATTGCCGCAGCGGCCCCGCGCGAGGGCTGGACGGCCTTCGAGTCCACCAGCCCCATCAAGGCGCTGCGCCGCGCCGCGCCGCCGGCGCCCGTGGCGCCCATCACCGTGCCCCGCCCCGCCGCCCCGCCCGGGCTGGAGGTCATGAGCGACGCGGACCGTCTGCGCTGCGAGCAGCTGTACGACCGCAAGGTGCGGCGGGCGGGGGCCCGGAGCGGCGCCGGGGCCCCTGAGGGTCACCAGGCGCCTCTGGCAGCGACAAACCTCCTGCAGGTGCAGGACATGCGACCCCGTTTTCCTCCGCGCCGCTGCCGCAGGGCTACCACATACGAGGGGGCCTGAGCCGGGAGTCCGGCTGGCGCCTGTTCCAGCGCAGTGGGATCGGCGCCGAAGACTTCCTGGCGGCCTGGACGCTGGCCGCAGGGGGGAACTCCGGGCCCCTGGCGCGCCAGGTGAGCCAAGGGTGCGGGGCCTGTGCGCCAGCCCAGGCTACGCCAAGGTATCCAACCCGTCCTCTCCTCCTGTTTGCACTGGGCTGGCCCGGCGCAGGCCACCTTTACACCACCGCCGCCCCCCAACCACCCTGCAGGAGTTCTGCCTGCTGGTGCACCTCCTGCACAGCATCCAGCGCGGATTCAACCTGCCCAGCAGCCTCGGCCCAGAGGAGGTGGGCGTGGGGCAGCAGTGGGGTGGCGGACTCCGGCGCGCATGGCGCGGCCCAGGCCCGCGCCATCGCAAGGCCGCGCCTGGGAGCGGGAAGTGTGGGCCTGGACGTGAGCTGCCCTTGTGGGGTGGTCTGTGATGCTCCCCCGGTTGCCCCAAACACCTTCCACACCCCTCAGCCTCTTCCCCCTTGTCAAAGGCCCACCGGCTGCTGGGCCGCATGCTGACGCCAGGCGGCTCCAGCACCCACCTCCGCCTGGACCTGGACCGGCTGAGGATTGCGCTGCACACAGAGGGGGCGGCGCAGCCGGCCTCCAGCCGCCAGGTGAGGGAAGGGTGAGGGACGGTGGAAGATCCGCCCCCAGGCCATGCCTGGCCAGGGGCCTCAGCCCCACGAGGCCCGCACCAGCTGGTGTGCCTGCTCATGGGGTATGACCGTGCTGAGCAGCCCCCCAAAACTCCCCGTGGCCCCCCCGTCATGCAGACCTCCCCCGGCGCGCTGACCACGGCCCGCACGGAGGCCGTGTCCACCGGCTTTGCCACCGCTCGAGGGCCCGAGGCCACCTCCTTCCTCCAGGGTGGGCTCGAGTGGGGTGGTGTCGGGTGCTGATTATCAGAGGGTTGGGAGACAGGGCAGGCAAACCGGCGTCGCTCACCTCCGCCTGTCACCCCGTGTGCCCTGTATTACTCTGGACTTCTCACGCCCACCATCGCCATTGCACACAGCATCGTTAGTAAGCCAAGCCATACATCCCTCCCGCATTGCCACCCTCGCAACCCACAGGCCACCACGACAGGCTGGAGGTGGGCCTCAGGGTGGCCCGCTTCACGTACCGCAAGGACCTGGACCGCCCCTTTGTCACCATGTCTGTCCGGGACGGAGCCGGAAGGCTGGTGGAGATGCCCCAGGACAGCTGCCCTGGACGCTACTCGCGCATGGCCGACTCCGTCGTCTTCAGGCAGAGCATGTGCCTGGGCACCCCCCTGTCCCAGCTGCCCCCAGGTGAGGGACTGTGCTTGAGTGTGCGATTTGATGCACGGCATGGGTGGCAGGAAGTGGGGGCGGAGTAGGCTTTCAACATACACACCGTGGGAGAGCGTCCTGGGCATGTACTTGGGCTGCGGGCGACCCCGCTCCACCGCAAGGCCAGATGGACTCTCCTCCAGATGTCATGCAAAGATGAGCTGACCCAGTCAGAACCCCAGAACCTGGGCAGCCACGCCGATGCTACAATGCGTCTGGGAACCATTCCACGTCCCCACCCTTGAATGAGCAGGGAGCTCCATCTTCTTCGAGCTGCGGCACTGGAAGGGGAAGGAGCACCGCTTCTCGACCCTGGCCTGGACCGCAGTGCCCCTGGAAAGGGTGCTGGACGCAGGGCCGGCCGCGACCAGGGTGAGTGCTGGGAGCATGAGCTCACGACCCAGATGTTCTTGTCGGCTGGTCAGAGCCCAGCAGAGGGTGGCTGGAGGTCGCTCTGCATGCGCCCCATCTCCACCCCTTCACGCACTGACTTCCCCGTGGACAGGTGCGAGAGGGCGACCTCAAGCTGCCCCTGTTCAAGAAGCCGCTGGACGTGTCGCTGCAGCGCATGCGACGCCTGGGCGGCAGAGCCGACTTCCAGCTCGCGTGTGTGGGACTGCAGGACGAGACGCCTGCGACGGCCGGGTGAGGGTCGTGGGCGGTGCATGCCGATGTTGAGTGAGTGAAAGGCAGCAGCACGGGCCTCCAGCCGTGCTTGTGACTCTATAATTGACCCCAGGCAGCGCAAGGTTGATAGGACATGCTAGAATGGGACATGTTCGTGGCGTGCGGGCAGCAAGTGCCTCTGAAACGCCAAGCGGTAGAGCTGAACATATGGATCGACACGACCCATCTCGGAGGCGCACGATTTTGAATCCGGGCCGAGAACTCGACAGCGACAGCACTGGAGCAGGGCAAAGCCCACACCGTTTTTGCATGTGACTATTTACAGACAAGTTTCAGGAGCGGGAAGATACCCCTGCCATACTGCATGCAGCATTGAGTGCATGACGAGCAAGGCCTCGAGCAAGAGCCCGACGGGAGTGAAACATGCCAACCTCGCAAGGAAGAAGATCAAGGGGCCAGAGGTGAGAAAACATTTTCTGGTGTAACATAGATGATGCAGCATGCTTGCATCCATCCATGGCGACTCGGGAGGCTCGCACCGCGCAGGATGTGCTGGCGAAAGTTGAGGCTCTGCGCAAAGCCGCTGCAGGCAGTAAAGGGCCTGTCAGGTGAGCCGACACTGACCCACCCTGTGGTCTACATGATGCTTTCCGAGTGGCTACCTGCCCGATATGCATGTCTGTTTGTCCAATGTAATAATCCTGTGCGGATAGAACTGAGGTGCAGACCTGGCCCACCCCGCCACACACCCATTTGCCGCCGTGGCGTTGATCCCTCAGGACGCTGTCGGACCTCGGCCTTCCCCATGCCTGTCGAGAGGTCGTCGACAAGGCAGAGGTGTCTGTCCTCTCCGAGATCGAGCAGTCCATCCTGCAGATCGCCGTGAGCATCCTGGAGGGCGCGGGGTTTCAGTACGCCATTCCAAACAGGTCCAAGGGCAATCAGCTCTACGTTCCCGGTGAGTGAATGATGTCAGAGGATTCCTGTATGGCCTGGGTTTTGCCAGGAGGAACCTCCTCTGCCCGAGTTCCCACTCTGTATTCACCCTTCCTACCCAAACATCCATGCCAGTGGAGCCGCACTCACTCGCCGGCCACCCCGCCCACCCGCAGAGCTGGACCGAATCGTGCTGAAGAGCTCCACATCGCAGCGTGCTTTTGCGAGCACCGCGACCTGCCGCAAGGCGGCCATCACCACCCGCATCCTGCAGCTCGTCCACGAGCTGTGCACCAAGCGCATCCACGTCACCAAGCGTGACCTGTTCTACACCGATGTCAAGCTGTTCGAGGTGGGGCTGGGATGTCCTTTGATGAGGCGTGATTGGATCTGGGGGCTCACATCCGGCCGTGCAGCGGGCCTGGGTGGAGCGTCTCCTGGGGTGGGCATGTCACATGGGGTGACGTGCATGCACACAAGATGGTTTGGGGAACGCCGCTCGTGGACCGTGTGTTCGCCCCACCCCTTGCCGTCGCGCGCACCCCCCCAACCCACCGACCCCACCCAGGATCAAGGCCACTCGGATGCTGTGCTGGATGACGTCGCGTGCCTCTTGGGCTGCACCCGCTCCAGCCTGAATGGTGAGGGGCTTTCTCGGATTGAGAGTACCGGGTGTCCGGTACCGGTTGGCAATCCCTGGTCCAGAGTGGGAGTTGATCAGCATGGAAACCGCACCCTGCTCCCTCGCCAACCCTGCAGTCATCGCGTCGGAGAAGGGCGTGGTGGTTGGGAGACTGACCTTCAGGGAGGACGGCGATGTGATCGACTGCAGCCGCATGGGCGTCGGCGGCAAGGCCATCCCGCCCAACGTGGACAAGGTGCAGCGGGGACGGGACTTGGAGGCGCCGCCACGGGACTCGCTGTCTTGCGCCCGCCCAGTGCAGCCCACATCGAGGCTCGGCGGGGATGAGGGCCCCGGAGCGCTGGGCAGGCAACCACGTCCTCAATGCCTAGATATAAAAGAACCATCCCTTTCCCCCAAAACCCGCCAGGTCACCGCCATCCAGTCCGATGCCAAGTTCATCCTGCTGGTGGAAAAGGACGCCGCCTTCATGCGCCTGGCAGAGGACCGCTTCTACAACACCTACCCCTGCATCATCATCACCGCAAAGGGCCAGCCTGACGTTGCCACGAGGTGGGGGTCACAAGTTGCAGTCCCCGGTAGACTATACGATTTGGAGCTGGCAGTGCCAGTCTGCTTCGTGGCACTGGTTCCTCGCGTGGTGTGATTTCCCACTCCACCTTTCCTACCTCAACGGAAAAATAACACAGGCTATTCCTGAGGAAGCTGAAGCTGGACCTGAAGATTCCCGTGCTTGCCTTGGTGGATGCAGATCCCTACGGCCTGAAGATCCTGGCAGTGTACATGAAGGGTGAGCGGGGCGCCCAGTGGGGTGGGGTTGGTGGAGGCCAGGGGGTGTGGTGCGCTCAGGCGCTGGCCACAGGACTCCTACCTCCCACCCAAAGGTCGCCGGGATGATGTTTCTCATCGAGCCATTCCCTGCCTGTCCCTGGGACAATCCCTGCGTGGAACCCTTGATATACCTCTTGCCGTGGGGCATATCGCCCTGAGGCTGTTCCCCTCGCCCACTTCTCAGTGATTCCCCCGTCCCCTCCCCTCCATAAACTTGGGACCTCTCGCAGGGTCCATGAACATGTCGTACGATTCCTCCAACCTCACCACGCCAGACATCAAGTGGTTGGGCGTCCGGCCGTCAGACCTGGACCGCTTCAGCATTCCGGAGCAGTGCCGGCTGCCCATGACAGAGGAGGATATCAAGACCGGGAGAAAGCTTGTGAGACAGTGAAGGGGGGGGCCTAAAGGGAGGGTAAAGGGGTCTTGGCAGCTGTCACCACCAATAAAACACTGCGCCGGCGTTGTGCACCCCCTCATGGTACACACGGCGGGTCGTGCCCAACCCTCCATGCAGCTGGAGGAGGACTTTGTCAAAGCAAACCCAGACTGGGTGCGGGAGCTGCAGCTAATGGTACGAGGTGTCGGGGTGCACGCGACTGGAGGATTGGGCTCCCCGTCCTGATTCGTGATGCAAGGTGACTGCGGCACCCCGCCCCACCCACTTCCTCGCCACCCGCTCTTTCCCCCACACAGCAAACCAGCAAGGTCAAGGCCGAGATCCAGGCTCTCAGCAGTTTTGGTTTCCAGTACCTGACACATCAGTACCTCCCGCTCAAGCTACAGGAAGGAGATTGGATTTGAGACCTTGTGACAGGATATTCAACGGGACAGAAAACAGCATCTCATAGCCATTGAAACTTCACATAAATTTGGCTGTGCGGATTCGAGGAGGGTTAGTCAACAGCGCCCGCCCTCCTACGTCATCAAATCGAACGTAAGATTCGACAACAAATCTCGGATTCTGCCTGATCCCCGTCGTGCGGGCTGTGTGCATGGCGTTCGAAACCAAGGACACCACCAGCACCTCGCTACTTTGTTCGCACACAAATCCATTGCATCGAAGACGTATCTGACAGCAGTCTGGGCAACCTGTGGCTCTTGTGTGAAGCAGGTTTTCTGTCCCCGCCCGACCCCGCCGTTCTCAAGAATTCAAGCTGCCGAACCTGCCATTGCCCACCTCTGGACATCCTCTTTACCGCACATGTGTCGCATAAGTACTATAAATCCGGCGCTTCGGCGGCAAGACACCAAGGAGGTTACCGTCAAGGACGTACAGAAGGTGGGGTGGACCCTAACCCCCAATCCTTCGTGCCATGAGTGACCCCACGACCCCCTGCGACCCCAGCCTCAACCTCTGTCGTGTTCCTTTCAGATACATGCTATGACGGAACAGTGCCTGTTGCATGGGCTGACGAAAGCCGAGACCCAGGCAGCGCTCGCCGGTTTCCGGGTGCATCCGAACATTACGGAAATTGGTACGGACGCGGCCCTCGCGGTGGGGTTGGGTTGCAGCTTCCTAGAGGGTGCTCAACCACCCCCCACGAGTCCTGATTCTGCCCCCGTTCCTCGCCTTTCCAGTGTGGCACAGACTGGAGCTTGAAAATCCGGAGTATTTTGCTGCTTATTATGCTGCCCTTCGCGCTAAGGTGTGGTGGGAGAGGGGGAGAGAGAGAGAGTGCGGGCGTCGCGCGGCCGCAATCCTGAGGATGGAGGCCCCACACCCACTCCCCCTCGATTATCAGGTTCACACCCTACTGCGTCACCCCTGACATTTGCAGACTCTGAAGAGCTGATGTGTTGACCTGACCAGCACAGAATGAATTCTCTCCCGGACCACCCTCCCCTCTGCCAGTTGAGGTCTGAGGCAAGGAAGGATCTCACAGGACCCCTTCCCATTGTGAGAGAGCCTCGCCACAGTCAGCTGCGTATGTCAGGAGTTACCGTGCTCCAATGATGATAGATAGGACCCAGGGGTGCTTTAGGAAGTCCCAAGTATCCGATGCCCAACATTCTGCCCCAGCCCTATGTTGTACCCTTTTTGATATGAGCTCGAACTTTGTGCCTACACGATCGTGGCCTCTACCCCCAAGAAACGGTGGCCAGATCTCTGCACACCTTGTGACCAGGCCGCCCGACTCTTTTCACAGTAATTTGAACTTGACAGCCCATTCTACTCCCCACTTCAGTGTCTCAAACTTGAATGGCATGCACTCTGCCCTGCCGCTGGGCATCACTGTGTTCCTCACCATCGCCCTACCTGCTGTGCTTTCCACCCTTCCTGCAATGGACCCCAACCTGAAACGAGAGTCTCACCCTGTAAAATGCCGAGGAGAATGCTGGGAAAAGGGGGTTTTGGACTCTGAGCGTGACAGACCTGCAACTGCCCGTGCGCTACAGCTCTGCAGTGTCATGCAAGCCTGTGCACACCGAACCGCACTGCAGATTCGCCAAGTGTGTTCTTATTCTCAATGTGACAAGGGGTCGATTTGTTTCATCAATGCCCAGCGCCGATGCCATGCCCATTGAGGTTGACTCAGTGGCAGGCAGGAGCACAAGATGTGCGGAGGATTAGTCCAATGTCAGAGGGCTGGATCCCGTCCCTAAGTCCCAGCAGGAGCTTGTTCTCCCCCGACACCTCGGGGCTGATGTAGGCAACCAGGACACCCTCCATCCCGCCGCGCCCTGTGAGGTAGGCGAGCCGCCCCGCGTCGATCAGGGCCTTGCAGTGTTGGCCCACGGCGATGCGGGCTGACCGCGGGATGTGGTGGTGTGGCTGCCAGTGCGTTGAACTCTGTTTTGAGGTGGGCCTCCCCGCCCCCGCCGCCTTCCGCTTTGCTCCGTGTGGAGGAATGCCTGGGAGCGGCGGCGCAGCTGCACCTGCTTGATCGCTGGCGCCAGGCTCCGTTCCTGCAGAGGGGCCAGTCGCGCCGTCCTCGTCGCCCTCCTCGCAGCCGGCCCCTGCAGGCGCCTCGTGGCCGCACAGTGCCCACCCTGGGGTGGAATGTTGGAAATTGGGCTTCACATGCGTGTGTGTTTCTGTGTGCGTGCCCGGGGGTGGTGAGCCGGGACGCGCCTGCAATGGCATAGACTCTTAGGCAGAGCAGCCTTCATCAACATTGCTGCCTTCACGCGAGGGACTGGTGGTCGGTCCAGCCAGCACGTTCCCCATCCTAATGTCTTCCAAGCCCTCACCAGCCCTTTCCATCCTGCAGCACATCACCCCACCAGACATCCACGACACCAGCTCAAACTCTGCCGGGGCGAAGCCGCGCTCGGCAAACCACTCCTTCCCGACGTAGGCCCTCCAGGAGCAGCGGTGGTGGCAGCACGTCGCGAGGCCCAGCCCGCGGCAGCGCCGCGGCGCCTGCTCCACCGCCGCCCGCAGCGCAAAGTCGGAGGCGGCGCCGCACAGGTGCTTGGCCACGCCCACCCAGGAGCGGGGCGGGGCACCGCCGCTGGGGCCGGGGCGGTCCAGGCCGGGGCAGCCGGCGAGCGAGAAATCCTTCAGGTCGCAGCGCAGGCGGTGCAGGTCCAGGTGACGCAGCGCTCTGCAGTTTGGGGGGGAGGGTGGGGGGAGTGAGCGCTGTCGGAAGGCCACCGCGACAGGGTAGGCGGGAATCGTGGCCAGCGCTTCCCAGGGCTCTGCCCTGCCCAGACACCACGCCGCCCCGGAATCCTGCCCTCCATCCACCCCCTGCCCTCGCCTATCGGCCTTGAGCTTGAAGCCCCGGCAGTCGACCAGGACGAGGCAGGTCAGCGAGGCGCAGTGCCCCGCCACCGCGGCCCCCAGGTACCCCCTTCCCGCGCCCAGCTCGACGATGACATCGTCGGCGACACACCGCAGCAGGCCGTGCCGCTCCAGGTGGCCCACGATGGAGGCCTGCTGGGCGGCGTGCTTGGCGGAGTAGGGCGGGGTCGTGACCCCGGGGGCGGGGGCGGGGGGCGCCGCCGCCGCCTGGTTCAGGGCATCCACGGGGGGCAGGGGCGGGAGCTGCGCGGCAGGGAAGGGGCCTCGCATGATTATCGTACGGCAGCATGGGCTGGCATCATCGGGCGTCGACGGTTTCCACAACATGCTCGGCGTGGGTTCTGGCCACCAGAAAGCCCCGCCATCAACGGCCATGCACCCCTGCCACGCCAGCAGACGTCGCGAGTGTGACTCACCCTCTCGGCAGCCTGGCAGACGCGCTCGATGAGGTCGTCCAAGCCATCGGGCCCCAGGGTCGCGGCATAGGCTGCCCTGCGCTCCGCCATGCTGTGGCCAGGCAGGCAGGCGCCGAGAATCGGCTCCACGTCCAGGGCCGGGCCGGCATTGATGTCCAGCTGGTAGTACGGGGCGGCCCGCTGGGCCTGGATCTGGAGGTAGGCGGGGCACTTCAATCTGTGCTTCTCCACCTCGTCTGCATAGATTTCACTGGAGTACAGCATGGGGGTAGGGGGTGTAAGAGTTGCTGGCCAACATTAGAGCACCGCATGCATGCATGCGCTTATGGGTCCAGAGTAAACATGCCATGCACCCCTGCTCCCGCATGCACCCAGATGCATGCCGTGCACCGCCTTCGCCTCCTCGGCCGGCATGCATTTCCCACCTACACTCACTGGGCACCAGCAGGGTCCCATGGACAGCGTATGCGAGGACGAGAGCCCTCGGCTTGCGGCAGGTGATTGCCGCAGTAGTTCTTGCCAGGTACCACATCAAACTTGCAGGTGCGGTTCTTCTGTGTCAAGAAAAATTGGCACTTTTGAGGGGCGTTCATCGGAGCTCTGCAATATGTGCCGGAGCGTGCTGGGAGGCGTTCATACTAATATCGTATGGATTAAATACATGGCAAGTTCTGTAATATGTAACAACTTCTATGTTTATAAAGTAATCTGTGGCATCAGGTATGGTGCGTGCCGAATACGCATTGGAAGTGCTACCCGATCCCACACCAACCTCAGCGCGCGATGTCTCGGACGTCCTCGGGAGCCAAGGTAACAACCGGGAGCGAGACAAGCAAACTTCCTCAGAACACGAAGCCTCATCACGCATCACCACTCCTCACTACCGTCATGTCGGGCGTCTGTCAGTCTGGCCAGTGTATTCAAGGAGTCCTGAGCCCCCGGATGGGCCTCAGGCTCCAAGAATTCGCCACGGCAGCTTCGGGCATGGTGGGAGACTCGTGGCCGAAGTCACACGGTGAGATGCTCGATGGAGGTGTAGGCTGAGCTCCGTCGGCCCCCGACGGGAGATCCGGGTGCATCGCTCACGCCTCGCCCCACCTGTTGCTCTGCCAGCGGGAGGCTCCCTCCACGACCCCTCCGTCTACCTCTTGGACTACGTCCCCGTTGATCTGCGCCTGGAAGTCAGCCACGCCTTTGTGGTTGGATTTTCGAACTGTATGGCAACCTTTGCCTACCTCCTGCGGCAGAAACAGTTCCCGAAGCCCGCCCTGATGAGGCAGTGCATAGGCTTCGTTCCTGGTCTGGACAAGGGGTGAGATTTCGAGGGGTCCGACTCGTCGTTGGTAGCCAGGCCGCGTGTCGTGTTCATTGCATTGAGACTAGGCCATGCAATATATACTGAGGGACTGACATCCTGTGCAAACACCCGCATGTAGTGCAAGGGCCCCAACCTGTTAATTTGGAACCCTCCCATCCTGCCCTCCTCCACGCAGGGCCACTGCTTCGTACTTCCAAGCTGGAGGACGTCCAGAGTATGCCATAGATGCTGTGCTTGCGCGGTGCGAGGAGGATGTGGTGGAGGCCGCGAGCCTCGGCATGGTGGAGGATGGGGTGCTCCAGGAGGCCTTGGAGGCCCTGCCAGCCTGCCCTATGGACGGTGCGCGGAGGTGTGGTGCTTGACAGCGGGACGCATTCTGTTGTGGAAAATTGAGCATGCTGAGCTGATGCCTTTTCAGGCTACTTCTTGCGGTTGCTTCGCGCCGCGCCTCCCTTGCTCGGCTCTCTCATGGGACGCTTTCCCACTCACAGATCGCTTCGATCTGGTGCGGCAGGCCCTCTTCCAGAACAGCGCTGTCTGGCCTTGCGGTCCGTACAGCATGGACGAGGAGCAGTATCAGGGGGATGATGGCTGGGTCCACTACGACACCAGTGGCTGGAGCGGACAGCCGGGGCAATAGCGCCGCTCTGACGCGCCCTTTTTGTGCCATTGGCGCCTCAGCTACCCCCCCTTTGGACTCTTATTGCAGCCTGAACGTTGCAGCTCTGACCACATTGAACATGTACACTACGGCGGACTGTATCATGCACTGCGTGTGTTGGGTGCTGGAGATAGCATGGGGTGCAAGGGCCACGATGCTGCAGAACTGGCACCCACCAGTCATGGAAAGGGGCCCCTTGCGATGTCTCATATGGGATTTCAGAGATTTCAGAGCAATGGAGATGCCTTTTATTGTAGTGTGCAGCGCACTTTATAATATTTGCTGGAACTGGGCAGGTCACGTGCTTCGGTCGCGTGAGGGGGGAGACTGGCTGAGGTAACCCGAAACCCTCGTTGCACATGAGGACACGACCGGACGCCGAAATTTGGCATAGCAAAGAGGAAGTCTTCCTCACTCCTCTGACGAAGCTTTCCACCTGTGGAGGACTGGGCTGCCGGACGAAGCCTTCCCGCAGCCGCCCTCGAGCTGAGCCTACTCCGAGCCGGGGTGTCGAACCGGGCCGAGGACACCATGCAGTCGGCATGCTCCACCCCCAGCCGTCCGTGCATGGGTCAGAGGCGGTCTGTCATCACATGCGTGGCGACGCCCTCCCGTCCTCCCACCGCCCACGGGCCCAAGCGGTCCAAGGTGGAGATCATCAAGGAGAAGTCCGACTTCCTGCGCCACCCGCTGATGCAGGAGCTGGTGACCAAGGAGACCAACATCTCTGAGGAGGCGGTGCAGCTCATGAAGTTCCACGGCTCCTACCAGCAGGACGACCGGGAGAAGCGGGCCTTTGGCTCCGGCAAGCTCTACCAGTTCATGATGCGCACCAAGCAGCCCTCCGGCCTGGTCTCCAACAAGCTCTATCTCGTCATGGACGAGCTGGCCGACCTGGTATGCATGCCTGGTTGGTTTGTGTCATGGGAGGGGGGGGAGGGGCCCCAGGGATAGCTGCAGCACGGCATGCGTCACGGTCCAGGGCACACCTGCGTACACTCGTCACCCTTCCACATGGGCACCGTCACCTCACACACACACACACCCAAACATAAAATCCTTCCGCAGTACGGCAACGGCACGCTGCGCCTGACCACGCGGCAGACCTTCCAGCTGCACGGCGTGCTGAAGGGCGACCTGAAGACGGTCTTCTCGTCCGTCATCAAGGCCATGGGCAGCACGCTGGGCGCATGTGGCGACGTCAACCGCAACGTCTGCTCCCCGCCCGCGCCCTTCACCGACCGCCCCGACTACGCGGCGGTGGCCAAGGTGTCGGAAGACGTGGCGGCGCTGCTGGCCCCCCAGTCCGGCGCCTACTACGACGTCTGGCTGGACGGCGAGAAGTTCTTCAGCCTGGCGCGGGAGGACCCGGCGGTCACCGCCGCGCGGCTGGACACCAGCCACGGCGCCTCCTTCCCCGGCTCGCCGGAGCCCATCTACGGCGACCTGTTCCTGCCCCGGAAGTTCAAGGTGGCGGTGACGGTGCCGGGGGACAACAGCGTGGACGTGCTGACCAACGACCTGGTCATCGTGGTGCTGTCCGACCCCGCCACCCGCGCCACCACGGGGTACCACCTCATGGTGGGCGGCGGCATGGGCCGCTCCCACGGCAAGGCCTCCACCTTCCCCCACCTGGCGGCGGACCTGGGCACGGTGGCCCCCGCCGACCTCCTGGCGGCGGTCAAGGCGGTGGTGGCGGTGCAGCGCGACTACGGCCGGCGCGACGACCGCAAGCAGGCGCGGCTCAAGTACCTGATCGTGGAGTGGGGCATGGACAAGTTCCGCAGCGTGGCCGAGCAGTACCTGGGCAAGCGCTTCGGCCCCCCCGCCGCGCTCCCGCCCTGGGAGTTCCGGCCCTACCTGGGCTGGATGGAGCAGGGCGACGGCCGCCTGGCCTACGGCGTGTACGTGCGCAACGGCCGGGTGCGGGGCGAGGCCAAGAAGGCGCTGCGCGCGCTGGTGGAGCGCCACGACCTGCCCCTGACCATCACCGCCAACCAGAACCTGATCCTGCGCGACGTGCGGCCCGAGCTGAGGGACGAGGTGGAGGCCACGCTCACGGCTGCGGGCCTGCCGGGCCACGAGACCTTGGACCCGCTGGACGCGCTGTCCATGGCCTGCCCCGCCATGCCCCTCTGCGGCCTGGCCATCGGCGAGGCGGAGCGCGCCTCGCCGGACATCGTGCGCCGCCTGCGCGGCGTGCTGGACTCGCTGGGCTTCCCCGCCGCTGAGCGCTTCGTCGTCCGCGTCACGGGCTGCCCCAACGGCTGCGCGCGGCCTTACATGGCGGAGCTGGGCCTGGTGGGGGACGGCGCCACCAGCTACCAGGTCTGGCTGGGTGGCACGCACGGCGCCACGCAACTGGCCCAGCTCTACGCGGAGCGCGTGAAGCTGGACGTGAGTGCGGGAGGTGGTGGTTGGGGTGTGTGTGTGTTGGGGGGAGGCAGTGTTGGGGGGAGGGAGTGTCGGGGGGAGGGAGTGTTTGGGGGAGGGTGCCATTGGTGCTGGGGTGGTCGGCATGGCGACGGTGCTCAGAGTCCCTGCTGCAAATCAGCAAAGCAACGGAGGACATCCCACACACTCTCCTCTCCCACCCCTCCTCTCCACACCCCACAGGACTTTGAGAAGTTCTTCACGCCCCTCTTTGCGCTGTTCAAGGAGCAGCGGCTGGGTCCGGAGGAGAGCTTTGGCGAGTTCACGTCCCGGGTCGGCTTCCCGGCGCTACATGCGCGCCAGCTGGCGGACGGCGCGGTGGAGGAGCCCAAGGCCAAGGGGCCCCGCGGCGGCCGCAAGCCTGCAGGCAGCGCCAGGGTGGCCGCTTCAAATTGAGAGAGAGGAGAGGCTGAGCACCCCGGAGGAGGCAGGGCACTTGCGCTGTCTGTGGCGCACCCTCCCATGTGGCCCCATCAGCAGCCACGAGGAGCATGCGAGGGTGATGGAGCCCTGAAGATTCGAGGGGAGTGTTGTGTCCCTGTGCACGGCAGTACCCTGTGCACATGCTTGTTGTAGAATTGGGGAAGACCGATTTCCTGGGCCCCCCTGATCACCTCCTGGGCAGAGCATGTGACCACGAGGCCTCTTCAGAGGAAATTATCCACTGTTGAATTGTTGCATGTGTGTAGGTTGACGATCTGGAGCAACCGGGGGTGCAGGAAAAGCAGACACCAGGGCAGGACTGAGTGCCGTGGCCGTGTTGTCGACAGTCGAGCAAGATTGCCCACCAGCACTCTTCACTCGCGATTCGTAAAAGCTAGGTGCGTGATTGCTCGTAAACCTTAACGCTCTATATCATGAACGAATAGACTCACATCGCATTCAGCATGCGCTAGGGCGCACAGTCCACTCGCTGTGCCGGTGTGGCCACTCAGGCACCACATCGCACTCGATTCAAACGTCCCTATCCATGGAGCCTGCCTCCATTTCCGGAGAGCAATGGGCCGCCAGGGTTTCGGGCGAGGCCCTGGATCTTGCCCAGTGCATGCAGTTTGTGGAGGACCCAGGTGCCGGTGCCATCTCCACCTTCTCGGGGGTCACTCGCAACAGCTTCAAGGGCAAGGCCGTCGTGAAGCTGGAGTACGAGTGCTACACCGACATGGCTCTCAAAAAACTCAAGGCACGTGCTGTGAGATGATTGGGATTCAGCGGCGATTCTGCACAGCGGTGACTTGCAGATTCATGTGGCAGGCGGCTTGGGGAGCGGGAGGATTAGACCAATCCCCACAACAACACCCTGTGCTACCTAATCAACCCCGCAGCAGGACGTCTGCGAGGAGTGCTGCCAGAAGCACGCCATAATTAGGCTGGCGGTGGCTCACAGGGTTGGTGAGGTGTGGGTGGGCCAGCCGAGTGTCCTCATCGCTGCCTCCTCGGCGCACCGCCTCGAAGCCATCCAAGCCTGCCATTGGGTGATCGATGCCCTGAAGGCAACGGTACCCATCTGGAAGAAGGAATTTTTCGAGGATGGCAGCATCTGGAAGGAGAATGCCGAGTGCCAGCTGCTTGGGAACAGCAGTGAGGGGCTGGCATGAGGAGGAGCAGGTCGCTGGTGCACTGTTGCATGTCCACTGTTTCTGATGTACCTGGTGGAACGGCCTGCAGCCTCATTTCAAGCATTGGCTGGGGATCACTAGGGGCTCGTGGATAACCGCAGTCTAGAAAGCAAGGAAGCGCACGCGATAGGCGCTGGTACACTTCCCGTCGTAAGCCTGCAGATGTTTTGAGGACACAAGACGTCGAGCCACACCCCGTGCTATACATACACAACATTTGGGAGCGAAGTGCAAGTGGGTAGCTCATCGGTCGAGCTCAGAGTCGACTCCGCCTCGGGTCGAGCATCTGCGTACCAGCACCCCCCCTCAGGTCAGCGGCCCCTACACAGCATCGCCCGACATGGTTGTGCGAGGCTTACCAGATGTATTCCTGATTCATCCCTTGCCGTGCAGTTCCTGGGGAGCACTCGACGGTCAGATCCGGAACTCCTCCTTGCGATGTCCTGTCCTTCTCGCTGCGCCCTGGCCCTCTTGCTGGCCCTGCTAGCGCCCCTGGCCGCCCTGGGCGCCGCGAACGATGCATGCTGGACGGATCCCACCGCCTCCACCTGCTCCACCCTGCTGCTGTCCTCCACGAAACTGTGGACGGACCTGAATGCCACCTGCAACACCGGCTCTGCAACCGTGGAGGGCTGGCCTGCGGCCTGCTCTCTTCGCGAGGCATGCGTGGAGGCCGGCACCCTGACCGCCTGCAACCCCATGTCCCTCATCCTGGCGGCATGCACCGAGGACTCCACCATCTCCACCTGCGAGAAGTGGGTCACTGGATGGCAGAGAGGAGGGTTGTGCTGCCATGGCAGCGCCAGCATGGATACCCCAACACGGCCCCCCCAAACACACCAGTATTGATCTCTCACACTTGCCCTCTTCAATTGGTGCAGGTACAAGACGCTGTGCGGCACGGGCAGCGTGGTACCGGCCTGTACCAGCGCAAAGAGCATCACTGGTCTGACCAGCGCCACCTCCTTCTACAATGACGTCCAGACGCTGTGCAGCAGCATGACCATGACCGGGTGTAGCAACTGCGTTGCCGTCAGCGGCACGCCCACCGCGGCCCAGCTGCAGGCCAGCTGCCCCAACCCCCTCGGTGAGCAGAGGGGCGGGCGGTTGTGCTTGTGTTGGCGGGGCCAGGGTACCCCTCTGCTGCCAAGCCTCAATGGCAATGGCAACGCCCTGCCGATAGCTTTCTCCATGCTTGCCGCTCTTTGCTGTCCTGGCACCCTGATCATCGGCCCAAGCCCAACCTGTCACAACCTTCCAATTCCTGACACCCAACAGGCACACTCGCGGAGCTGTGCCTGGAGATGAGCATGGACGGGTGCGGCGACTGGACGACCTTCTGCGCCTCCAACGCCGCCGCCTTCCCCGGCCTGTGCTCGTCCACGCCCGCCGCCGGCCCCAGCCCTGCCATGGCCATGAGTCCCTCCATGGACATGTCGCCCGCCGCTACCCCCAGCCCTAGCTCCTCCCACAGCAACTGGGCGGTCGGCGGCTGCTATGACGACCCCACCACTGCGAGCTGTGCAGACTTTGTCCAGCCCACCTCGATCACCGAGGCCAACATCACCGTCCTCTGCGACTCCATGCCCTTCATGTCCGGTTGCACCCTGCACAACATGTGCAATGTGCGTGAGGGTTTCATTTGGGTTGGGGGGGATGACTAAGGCGTGGGTATTGATGGGGGGGGGGAGTCAGGGTTTCGTCTATTCTTGGGCTTGTGGCTGCCCCGGCCAGGATAGGGCCCAAGTGCTGCACTCATAGGAGGGCCCCAAGGGTACCCTGCCTTTGTGCATGCATGCATGCATGCTCACCCTTCACACCGCCCCCCCCTTCCCCCCTTCCGTCATCTCCTGCCCTTCTTAACTGTGCAGGCGGGCACTGCCTCCGGCACGTACTGCGACCCCTTCTCCATCCTGGCCGACCTGTGCGTGGACATGCCCGGCATGAACGGCTGCCAGGGCTGGGTGGCCCTCTGCTCCGCCTCCGGCACCAAGGTCGCCCAGTGCACCCAGCGTGAGTACAGTGGGCGCGTGTGTGTGTGTGTGTGTGTGTGTCTGCGTCGGGGAAGGGATTCTTAGGATGGACAGGTGTGTTGGCCGCTTCGCCACTGCCAGGTGCGCCATAGCCGCCCGACGCAGACCTGCCCCACCCTCCCTCCCTTCCGATCCATGTGCAGATGCGGCAGTGCCCAACCTGGTGATCACCTTCGACGCCATGGACCAGGTCATAGACATGTGCGGCCAGATGTACATGGACGGCTGCTCGGACTGTACATCACGCACCGCCTGCCCCAACCCCATCCTCACCCTGGCCCAGGTGGGCTGGACAGGGCCATGCAGGGGGTTGGCCTGTGGTTGTATGGGAGGGGGGAACGATGGCTGCTTGCTTGACCAGGGGTGGGTGCTCCCACAGCGTGCCCACACCCCAGTGCACCGCCATGCATGCCTTGCACCCTGGTTGTGTTTCGATTCTCCGCACGGCTGTCCGAATCCCCCCCAACCCAAGCCCACCCGAAACATGCACATCCCAGGTGTGCCAGGGCATGCCCTCCATGCCCGAGTGCGCGTCATACACCGCCATGTGCGATGGCGGCGCGGCCGGCACCTTTGCCACGCTGTGCTCCTCCGACCCGGCAGGCAGCTCCACGCCGCCCATGAAGATGTACATGCACGCGGCCTGGACGGAGCTGATCCTGTTCCAGGCCTGGGTACCGCGGAACAAGGGCGAGTACATCGCCTCCTGCCTGGCCATGATCGCGACCGCCATCCTGGTCCAGTTCCTCAAGTCGCTGCGCCTGCGCCTGGAGGCCGTCTGGGCGTCCCGCCTGCGCACCTCCTGCTGCGGCGGCGACGGCGCGGCCTCCGACAGCGGCTCCGAGTCGCTGGGGGCGGGCGGGTCCAAGGCCTACGTCGGCGCCAGCGGCTGTGCGGGTCCGGCGCCCGCGCCGGGCCTCTGGGCCGGCTGGCGCGTGGCCTCCCTGGCGCAGCTGCGCCGCAACGTCGTCCGCTCCCTCTTCACTGGCGTCGTGGTCTTCCTGGACTACATGCTCATGCTGGTGGTCATGACCTTCAACATCGGGCTCATCGTCAGCACCGTGCTGGGCTTCGCACTGGGCGCGCTGCTCTTCGGGCACATCGGGGAGGTGGGCGACCGCGCGGCCGCCGCGCCCACCGCCGCCGGCAATGAGAACGAGCTGGAGGTGCAGTTCGTGGAGCCGGGGTCCTGCTGCGGCAACCGCCAAGTTTAGGACGGAGGGTGGCTGCAGCGGGGGACCTGGCCAGTGGGTCTTCCAACTCCATTGCCGGCTGGACAGACGCCTGGCCAACGCCGGTCAGTCATGCCAGCTCGTCCCCTCTCCTGCGCGTAGTAAGCCAGGGCAGCAGCTTTGTATTCTCACCCCCAACCTCACAATTTCAATCTCAATCCGCATTACACTTTGCCTTTGCCGTGCTCTACACCCCAACCATCTACCCTTTGGGAACCACCGCTCATCCTTTGTGTGTGTAAGCACCCACGTGCCACGTGCCCCCCCCGCCCCTCGGTCGAGCACACGTGCTGGAGTACGTCGTCCGCGGGGCAGTTAGCGGCAGAAGCCCACCCGATCCGATACGCGATACGCATACCCATCACCAAAACCGCAGCACGCGGCGTCTGCAGAGCAGGTCCGGTCCGAGAGCTCTGGAGGGATGGCAACCCTTGCGTCCTGCCTGGGCGCCAGGCCGGTGGCTCGAGTACACCATGGCATGTCCGACAGGAAGGGGCATCGCGGTCGCAGGGTGAGTGAATTCTCCGCATGGGTTATCCCCTGCATGGGTCTCGGCGGTGTGGTGGGGTATTGAACCCCTCTCCATGCCAACCCTCCCATCTCACCCCGTGCTTGCAGGCGGTGGCCCCGCGGGCCGCAGCGGCCCCCTCCCTGCACGAGTCCACCCAGACTGGCGCAGATCTGACGGCGGAAATCATCGCCGATGAGAAAAAGTGGGAGTGGGGGAGGGTATGGGAGAGCCCCAGCGTTATGTGCCCTGTAACAATCCCTTTTCCCTGAACGGTCTCCTCAGCACCCTCACTGCATGACCCCACAGGTACATCCTGCAGACCTACTCCCGGCCCGATATCGTGCTGACGCATGGGGAGGGCTCCCGCCTGTACGACCTGGAGGGCAAAGAGTACCTGGACTTCACCTCTGGCATCGCCGTCAACGCGCTTGGCCACGCCCACCCAGCCTGGGTGGATAGCGTGAGCGAGCAGGCCGCGCTGCTGGCGCACACCAGCAACCTTTTCCACACCGTGCCCCAGGTGGCCCTGGCCAAGGCCCTGGTGGAGAACAGCTTCGCGGACCGCGCCTTCTTCGCCAACTCCGGCACCGAGGCCAACGAGGCAGCCATCAAGTTTGCGCGCAAATACGCCAAGATCAGGGGTGGGTTGAGTGTAGGTGGGTGTGCTGGGTGGGGATGTGGGCCTTACTGCAGATGATGGTGAGAGTGGGGATGGGTGGTGTTGAGGGAGTGGGCCCACCAAGCCGTCGTAGTGGTGTATAGAAACCCAGCTATGCATTGAATCCGTGGGGCACGTAGCGACAGAGAGAGACCCAGAGACCTTGCCTGTATCGTGTTGACCATAGCACATGGTGTGTCTGAAGTCAATCGAGTCATCCCTTCCCTCACCACCTTCCCATCTACAATGTCTACAGCCGGCGTGGACCCATACGATGCCGAGGCCTCGGCCTCCGCGCCCTCGGACCTGCTGGCCTTCGAGGGCAGCTTCCACGGGCGCACGCTGGGCGCGCTGAGCCTGACCTACAAGTCGCAGTACCGCACGCCCTTCGCGCCGCTCACCCCCGGCAGCAGCCTGGTGCCCTACGGCGACCTGGACGCGGTGCGCGCCGCGCTTTCCAGTGGCCGCGTGGCCGCGGTGTTCGTGGAGCCCATCCAGGGCGAGGGCGGCATCCACGACCCCGGCGCCGACTTCCTGCGCGGCCTGCGCAGCGCCTGCGACGAGGCCGGCGCGCTGCTGGTCTTCGACGAGGTGCAGGTGGGCCTGGGACGCACCGGCTCGCTGTGGGCGCACGAGCGCGCCGGGGTCACGCCCGACCTGCTCACCCTGGCCAAGCCGCTGGCGGGCGGGCTGCCCATCGGGGCGGTGCTGCTGAGTCAGCGCGTGGCGGACGCCATGGCCCCGGGCGACCACGGGTCCACCTTTGCCGGGAACCCGCTGGTCTGCCAGGCGGCGGTCACCACCTTCGACATCATCCGCCAGCCGCGCTTCCTGGCCGAGGTGGCGCGCAAGGGCGAGGCCCTGCGCGCCGGCCTGCGCGCCGCCCTGGACGGGAACCCCCACGTCCGTGAGGTGCGCGGCGTGGGCCTCATCGTGGGCATCCAGCTGGACCAGGCGGCGGGGGCCGTGGTGGCCGCAGCGCGCGAGCGGGGCCTGCTCATCATCACCGCGGGCGCCGGAGACATCGTGCGCCTGGTGCCGCCGCTCATCGTGTCGGACGAGGACATCGATGAGGCGGTGCAAACCATCCGGAAGGTGTGCGCGGAGGTGCTGACGTGAGCTGGGTTTCAGTGGTGGCTGGGGCCTGGTGGCCTGCCATGCCCCTGGTGACTCGGGCAGGCCACGACATCGCCCCTTCATACAGCAGTCCCCTCGTGTACGCCGCTTGATCCTCTGTACTCTAGTCTTTGTCGAATTGTAAAGCCTGCTGACTCTTTCAAGTCCTGATGGACGGAGTCTCTATGAATGGCCGGTGAGATCATCTGGAAAGCGGGGCCAGGCTCCGACACGGCCGGAGAGAAGTTCCGCGGATCCAACATATGCCGACTCGGCAGGACAAACCCCACCAAAAACACACAAAACGGCGTTGTTCTGACTGCATCGCCAGCTCAAAGTGTGTGGCTTTCGGCTGCCTGGGAGGGGAGTCGGGGACACTCGCTGCCATGAAGCCCTCAGCGGAGGCCGGCCTGAGGGCGACTCGGGGCCTGTACCGATCCCTGCACACCACTACGGCACCCAGGGCCGGTCCAACGCTGGATTCCGTGCTTGAAAATCTGTCCCCCGCTGTCTCCAAGTTCGGGGTGAGGAGGCGGGGTGGAGGGGTTGGTGGGCAGCTGAGGCTTTCTCTCAGGGTTTGGGCCTCTGGCACCCCAGTCCATGCGCCCCGAGGCCAGCCATCCGACCTGAGATAGGCCCAACCCCCATCGTACCCCTTCAGGACCTGGTGGCCGACTACGGCAAGGGTTCCTACGTCTGGAGCACCGACGGGCGCAAGCACCTGGACATGGCCACCGGCATCGGCGTGCTGTCCACGGGCCACTGCCACCCCCGCGTGGTGGCGGCCATTCAGGAGCAGGCGGGGCGCATGATCATGGCCCAGCAGAACATCTTCCCCGCCTCCCGCCCCATGGTCGACCTGGTGGAGCGCTTCCGCGACATCATGCCCCCCAGCCTGACCCAGTATCTCTTCGTCAGCAGCGGGAGCGAGGCGGTGGACAACGCGATCAAGATCGCGCGCTCGGCCACGGGCCGCCAGAACGTCATCGCCTTTGACGGCGCTTTCCACGGCCGGACCTACGGCGCCATGGCCGCCACCACCTCCAAGACGGTCTACCGGCAGACCTTTGGCCCGCTGCCGTCGGGCGTGCTGGCCGCGCCCTACCCCTACTGCCTGCACTGCAAGGCGCGCGCCGCCGCCGGCGGCCTGGGCTACGGCCTGGCCCCCAACGTGCCCGGCGTCGGCGCCGACTACGCCGGCCGCGCCTGCTGCGGCGGCCCGCTGGAGGCACTGGAGTGGATGCTGAAGATGCACTCCGCGCCGGCGGACACCGCGGCCATCCTGATCGAGCCCATCCTGGGGGAGGGCGGCTTCCTCACGCCGCCCCCGGGGTTCCTGGACGCGCTGCGCGTGCTGTGCGACCGCCATGGCATCCTGCTCATCTTCGACGAGGTGCAGGCGGGCATGGCGCGGACGGGGACCTGGTGGAGCCACCAGCAGCTGTCGGCCGCGCAGCCGGACATGCTGCTCTTCGCCAAGGGCATCGCCTCGGGGTTCCCCTTTGCCGGCCTGGCAGCGCGGCCGCAGCTGTTCCAGGCCATGTCCCCGGGCATGCTGGGCGGGACGTACGGCGGGAGCACGCTGGGCTGCGCCGCTGCCGCGGCCACCATCGACGTCATCCGGGAGGAGGACCTGCTGGGCAACGCCACGGCGCGCGGCGCGCAGCTCATGCGCGGCCTGCTGGATGTCGCCTCGCGCTTCCCCGCCGTCGTGGACGTGCGGGGGCGGGGGCTCATGGTGGCCGCGGAACTGGCGGCGGCCGACGGGAAGCTGCCCGCGCCGGCGGGGCTGGCGGGGCGGGTGACCGCCGCCGCGGGACGCCGCGACATGCTCCTGCTCTCCGCCGGAGCGCGGGAGACGATCCGCTTCCTGCCCCCGCTCAACGTGAGCGAGGAGGAGATTGACGCCGCTCTTAGCATCTTCGAGGACTCCCTGGCTGAGGCGGTGCGCGACTGCACGTAGGCGAGGGGCTTGCTGAGAAATCCCTGCAGGTCCTGAAGTAGAACGCAATCCTGGGTGTCAAAATGTGCTGACGTGACATGGGCCCAAATATTGCTGTAGATTCAGAATCGAGCAAAGTGCCTGCAGTGGAGAGCTGAATGTGTCACGAGCGACACGGCCTGGCAGGCTCAATGCGGGCAAAAGCTCACGAAGCAAAAGGTGGATGTGAGGCGAACGTGATAACCAACTACACCACGAAAGCTGAATGAACTGCTTTCGTCCGGGTTCGAACCGGAGACCTTTCGCGGACGTCCTCTTGTTGAAGATTAACGTCTTTTCCACTCTATATGTTGTTGGGGGATGTCGCCGGGTCGCATGTTGTTCATTCTACCCCACAGCTTTGCGCATCCTCTGATAGGACACTCGGGTTGTACTGAGAAGTCGAAGTGTCGTCCTGCACACAAATGTAACCTTTACAGGCTGCCTCAGACGGCTCAGTCTGCATTCGTGCGTTCCGGCTCGGCGGCGAGACAGTCCTGAGAATCAAAACACTTCCCTGCCGCCGGAGCACTGCGGCCACCATGCCGCAAGTGCGGCCATTCGTGATGGATGGCTGGCGCAGGAGTAGCATACCCTCATTGAACCATGCGGGGGGGGACGAGATCGAAGCGTCGGTGCAGGGTGAGCGCCGGGGGTTGCGACCCAACCCTGCCAGTGCCCAGCTTGAGTTGTTGCCTGCATGCGTGATTCATCCGCTGATGAGGAGACCCGCAATTACTCCTCCTTCCGTCTTGCAACCCAACAGCCTGTCCAAAACGATTCAGGGATGACATCGCCGCCCTGTTTCCCTCCATAGACATCAAAGGTATGAGTTGGATAATGACAGTTTCTGGAATCCAGACCAGCCCTCCTCACTGGTGCACAGCATCACCACCACCCGTCACTGGCTTATGCACAGACTTGTTTATTCTTATGACCTGCCAAAAGTCGCGGGTGGACCTTGTGGGCAGGGGCCCTGAAGTGGAGGAAGAGAAGGATCGCCTGCTGGAGAGGGTGAGTTGGGGGAGGCTTGCAGAGGTTGCTGCGCTCGGGGATAAGCCTTGGCGCAGCGTCGTTGACAGCGGCGCGCAGTGCGACGCTCGCCTTTGAACAGTATGTGCTTGAACCTCACCCCCAAACTCATCCTGCCTCCTGCCAGTTCTTCTTCCTCGCCAAGGCGGTGGTCCGGCGGCTGGAGGCCTCTGGGTACTGGGCAGACTACATTGACCCCTGCTCCGGCATGTCCATGGTGCACCGTGACACATGCGCCGTGTACGACGAGGTGGCGGCGCTGTGTGCGCTGTGCAGCTTCCGTATACAGAACGCCGGGTGCTGCAAGGTGGCGCTGCACCCCTCCTGGGGCAGCTGGGTGTACCCCGCCACCATCTTTGCCAAGGCGCCGGCGGAGGTGGTGGAGGCGGTGTGGCAGGAGACGCTCATGACGTTGAAGCCACGGCACCCGCCCTACTGCGAGTGCTGCGGGGGCAAGCGCCCCGGCATCTTGACCGGCCCCGGGGTGTGATTTTCTCTCCCTTGGATCTTGCTCCCCGCGCCCGCGGCCTCGCGCTCCCATGCAACGACATGTTGGGCCGGATGTACGCACGATCGAGCTCGAGGTGCAACGAGAAACTACATACAGATATTCTAGCAATACTTAAGTTTAGAAGGATCGCGCGGCGCGCAACGAGAGGGGTCCCGTGATCAGTCCGGGCAATCGTTGCGTCGCGCCCGGCTGGGTGTAGCAACTCAGCAAGGCGACCGGGGACGCCCTCGCTGCATGACCTGAGCCCTGATGTCCGCTTTTGAGGAGCTGGGCGTGTCGCCCGAGCTCATTCGTGCTGTGGAGGAGCTGGGATGGACGTGAGTGCCATGCTTGGGTGTTCTGCTGGACAGGGCGTCGAGGGGCAGGGCGTCGCTGGGCATCCTGCACTTACCTGCTGCTCTGGGACTGCCCATGAATCGCATTGCTAGTATGGATGCTGCGCATCCTTCCCCTAGATGCTTCATCCGTCCCTTGTAACCTCCAGCTGGTTGTGCGCCCTCCCTCAACCCTCCGCACCCCTCCAACCTCCCCTCCAACACCCCCAGGCTCCCCACCGCCATCCAGGCGGAAGCCGTCCCCCTCGATCCTGGGAGGGGGCGACATCATGGCCGCCGCGGAGACGGGGAGCGGCAAGACGGGAGCCTTTGCGCTGCCCGTGCTGCAGGTGGTCCAGGAGGTCCGGGCCGGGCTCATGCGCACCGGCGCGCCGACTGCGGGGCGCGGCGCAGCCACTGACCCAGCGCCCGCCGCCGCCGTCTGGAACGCGGCGGACCGCGACGACGCGCTGGCCATCCAGCCCGACGGCCTGGTCTGCCAGTCCCGCAGCGAGGCGGCTTGGAGCGGGGTGCGCGCCTCGCTGGGCGCCGACCCCGCGTCCGGTCCCCGCTACTTCGAGGTCGCGGTGTGCGACGAAGGCCTGTGCCGGGTGGGTTGGGCCGCGCCGGCCTCCTCCCTGGAGCTGGGCACGGAGAAGGGGTCCTGGGGCTACGGCGGCACGGGCCGGCGCAGCCACGCGGGCGCCTTTGAGCCCTATGGCAGGCCCTACGGCCTGGGCGACGTGGTGGGCGCTGCGCTGGACTGGCAGGCGCGGCGCCTCTCCTTCTTCCTCAACGGCAAGGACCTGGGCGTCGCGTACGACCTGCCCAAGGTGGGTGTGATGTGCAGGGGGGTGAGGTGGCATGCACCTGTGGGGGAGGGGGGGTGGAGGGCAGACAGGGAGACATGGTCTTCCACCTGGGCATTGGGTTTGGAGTCGAGCAAGACCACACCTGCTGCCTGGTCGTGTGCAGCCCTCAATCACATGCGTCAAGGCATGTGCTCAGCAGCGTCTGGGATCTCGGCGCCTCCATGCACGTGTCCTGACCCTCTCTCGTCGACCCTCCAACTCACCCACTCAACCCCTGCAGCACCTGGCAACGCCCCTGTTCCCGGCCGTCACGCTGAAGAACGCCGAGCTGGCGGCCAACTTTGGCGCGGAGGCCTGGAAGTTTCCCCCGCCCCCGGGCTACCAGGGCTTCCTGCCCGGCGGCAGCATCGGGGAGGGCCTGGTCTCCTGGGAGGTGGCCAGCGCCCCAGCGCAGGCGGGCTCCAATGCGGCGCGGCGGCCCCTGGCCCTCATCCTGGAGCCCACCCGCGAGCTGGCGGAGCAGACCCACGACAACCTGGGCCTCTTCTCCAAGTTCCTCCCTGTGCCCGGCGTCCGCACCGCCCTGTGCCTGGGGGGCACCAACCCAAAGGCCGCCGAGCGGGCGCTGGCCGAGGGGGCCGACATCGTGACTGGCACGCCTGGTGAGAGCTGTTGACCACTGGATCGGCGCAAGGAGGGGAAGGTGTTGACGATATGGGATGAAATTGGAGTGCATGTGTGTGTTCCTAGCAGGCTCGGCACCGCGTTCGCAGCTCAATCGCCACCACCCATGCCCAAACCTGCATCCTGCCAGGGCGTGTGATGGAATTCGTGGAGAGCGGGAAGCTGGTCCTGGACGGCATCAAGTTTTTTGTCCTGGATGAGGCAGGCAAGGACTTGGAAAGGGTGTGAAGAGCTGAATGGCTTTGCACAGAACTCGCTTCGCACATGTGCACATGGCAGAGGGTGTCTGCCCAACATCACCGTGCCTCACATCACCCCAACCCCCAAAGCCTTGCCTTGTCCCAGATCGCCTGCTGGACACGGGGAACCAGGAAGCCATCCGGAAGCTGTTCCGCCGCTTTCCCAAGGCGGGGGCTGGCGTGGCGCGCCTGCAGGTCCTGCTCTTCTCTGCCACGCTCCACTCAGAGGAGGTCAGGGCACTGGCGCGGGAGCTGTGCCAGGACCCGATCCTGGTGGACCTTCGGGGCAAGAACCACCTGCCGGACACGGGTGAGGCGGGCAGCGGGAGTGTGCCTGGGTGGCCTTAGGGGTGATGGCGAGGCCGTGAGGCGCTGGGTTGGATGGTGCCAACGATGCAGAGGTGCGATGGAGAATAGTCCTGACCATTTCTCGCACTGCCTCTCCCTGCCCCTGCCATGCCACTCTTTCTCACATCCCCTGCTCCACCACGCAGTGGATCACTTGGTGCTGGAGGTGGACCCGCGGGAGGACCGCTCCTGGCTGCAGACCTCCCCCGCCGTGATCAGCGACGGCTGCCACACCTTTGACGCGACGGGTGAGTAAATGTGCATTGGGCGCCCAGGGGGGGAGGCTGGTGCCAGGCTTGCCGTGGTTATCTTGCGCCCTTCAGCATCGAGTGTCGCGGCTACGAGCCTACACCTAGGAGCGCGGCCCAAAGGCACCTCCCCTTCCACCAGTATAGCCGGAAGCGTTGACCCCTGGAGCTCATCCTGTTTATCCCTGACACCCTCCTTTCCCCCCTTGCCAGGCACCGACCTGGACACCCCCGAGAACTGGTCCGAGGCCGTGAAGCGGCTGAAGCCCCGCCTGCTGCAGCGCTGCCTCACGGCTCTGGGCATGGAGCAGGCGCTCATCTTCTGCCGGACCAATCATGACTGCGACAACCTAGAGAAGTTCTTCAAGAACCTGAGCGGTGCGTGCAAGACAGAGGCTGGCGGGAATACAAGAAAGTGGGGGAAACGGGGGAGTAGAGATGAGCCTGGGCCCTGCATGCTCACCCACCTCCTGCAATGTGGCTGCATGGGAGGGCACACATCCCTTTCAGACCGCCACACACGGCCTGTCACCTCTACTTCTTGCTCGCTGCGTTCAAACCCTTCCCGTCCCCCCGATTACTGCAGGTGGTGCCGCAGCAGGCGGCGGCCCCGGCAACCCCTACTCCTGCGCGGTGCTGGCGGGCCAGCGCAGCATGGAGGAGCGGCGGGCGGCCCTCGCCGCCTTCAAGGCCGGGGAGGTTCGTTTCCTGGTCGCCACCGACGTGGCCGCGCGTGGCATCGACATCCAGGTGAAATGGGTGGGGAGGGAAAGGGGAAAGGGGCACCCGGCACACATGGTCTCACCAGCGTTGGACCCAGCAACGGTCAGGATTGCCGAGCCTGCCTTATTCGTGCAAAGGGATGGCTCATCGATGCTCCACATCAGGGTCGCAGCCCCCTGACTCCTTCCACGGGCCGCGCCCAGGCACCCTTGCTTCTGACTTCCACCCGATCCTCCCACACAACCACAGGGCCTGCCCTTCGTGATCAACATGACGCTGCCGGAGCGGGCAGAGGACTACGTGCACAGGGTTGGGCGGGTGGGGCGTGCTGATGCACTCGGCCTGGCCGTCTCCCTGGTCTCGGCCCTGCCCGAGAAGGTGTGGTACGCCAGCGGCAAGGGCCAGCGGCCCTGGCTGGCACCCAGCCGCCAGAACACGGCGACCAACGACCGGCCGGGGGGGCAGACGGTGTGGCTGGACGAGCCCGGCCTGCTCCGCGACGTGGAGGAGAGGCTGGGCGCGGCCGTGCCGCGCCTGCCGGCCGACATGGCCCTGCCTGCCGACATCGCGGCGCGGCTGGGCAGGGGCCCGCAGGCCTACGGCGGGGGCGGCGCCGACGCCGACCCGGCGGCCCAAGAGGCGCTGGGCCGGCGCCTGGCGGCGGTGCAGCCGGCCCTGGCCGCGCTGGCAAAACTGGAGCGGGACGCGCAGGCCAGCTTCTTCGACTTGAAGCGCAAGTGGGCCGAGGTGGAGGCGGTGCGCGGCCGCATGCAGACCGTCCCGCTGGGAGAGTGAAGATGGGGAGCGGGGATTGGAAAGATCTGGCGGATAAAGCCAATGGCGCTGTCCTCTGCCAAGCTTGGTGAAATCTGAGGGCGGTACCAAACTCTGCATGCATGCAGACCGTGCTGTGTTGAGGTTGTTGTACAGCGTTACCCACAAAATGGTGTCACAGGCAACAGCGCTCGGGGAAAGTAGAGTTGTGCATGCAAAGGCCAGCGGCACAAGGGCCAGGAGACGCAGAATGTCTCGGATGGAAGGGTACAAAATGTGGACACAGACTAAAAAAGGCAACTGTCATCACAGACGTCACTGGGTCCTGCCGGCGCGACAGAGCCGCAGAATTCCGCCTCCGTAGGAGGAAAGCAGGACATCCTGCTCAGACACGGTAACGGAGCTGAGCGGGTCCGCAGTCATCCTGCCAGGATGGGGAAGAAAGAAAGTGTGCATGTCATTGGTACAATCCTGCCGCTCATGAGCTAGCTCCAACCGCGCTCCACCCCACCTTGCCGCAACCCCTCACCTCTGCTGCACCAGAGGCCCCACCAGGGGCATGTCCCCCCGGCGCAGGGCAGCAAAGCTGCCCGGGTCTAGTGACTTCACCCCCCTCCAGCTGCGCACGCTGTGCGTCCTGGTCGCCGCCCTGACCGCCGGCGCGGAGACCTCCCAGAGCAACAGCTGGCAGTCCTGCCCCACGGAGGCCAGGCGGTAGCTGGCGCTGGCGCGCTGCAGCCGCGGCGACGACGGGGGGGTGGCCGTCGGGGGAGGGCGGGGGCGTCCCGCTTGCAGTCCTGGGATGGGCGAAATGGCAAGGGGAAGCGGGTGAGTGTCACGAGTCGCTGCATGGCAGGCGAACACCTCCACACCAATGGGCTCGGACCCTGCGGCCCTGACGTCCGGCCTCCCCGTGCACTCACCAGGGGTCAAACGCAGCGCCGGTGATCCAGGAGGAGTGGCCTTGGCACACCGCAGCCACCGCCTTGCTGACGAGGCTGTAGACGGTGATGAGGTCGTCCTCTCCCCCTGCCGCCACCAGATACCCGTCTGCGCTCCAGGCCACGCAGGTAAGGCCGCCGTAATAGCTCTGGCGGGGGGTCCAGAGGGCAAAGGCGGGGGTTGATTACGCATGCACACCCCTGCCACAGGGCAGACTGTTGCACATCAGGAATGAATGGCTTCTGTTGGGCGTGTGCCCTTGGCCAGGGTACTCAGGAATTTGGCTTGTGGGCCCTTGCAGCACCCACCCGCAGGCCCTAGCACCTCATCACCTTGAAGCCGCCGATGCAGGCTCCTGTGGGGTAGGCATGAATGGCCAGTCTTCCGTCCCTTCCCGCCAGCGCCACCGCGTCCCCCGCCGGCGACATGGCAGCGATGACGCTGCACCCCCGTGACAACGCAGACATGGTCCGATGGGGGACCATCTTCAGGGGCTCCACCTCGCTATTGGTCCTGTGCAGCAGCCACTTGTCAGAGCTCTGCCCCAGGATCTGGGGGGGGGGAGGGGCCGGGCAGCGAGTGGACAAGGAGAGCAGTGTAGACAGGACGCAGGACAGACTGAGAGTGATGTGCATGGTGTGACAGATCGTGCAGGGTAGGCCTGGGGAATGGTGCACCCCCGATGAAAGCCGCACCCCTGTGCCCCGTCCCGGGGGACCAAGACCAAGTATCCAACCCGATGATAGGCATGGAAGGCCCCGTCGGCGTGGGTGGCTATGAAGGAGCCGCCGTTCGTCCCCGGGATCCACTGCACCGACACCGCGCGCGCGGGCGTGTCCACCCCGGCCTCATTGTAGATGGCAGCGGGGACGGGCTTGCCGCCATTGGGCTGGGCCAGGCACCCTGCCAGGGACAGGAGCAGCACCTCCCCGCTGGCCATCCCCACCAGCAGGTCCAGGCCGTCCTGGGCCTCCGGAGTGAAGGCGACGCAGGTGGGGCTGGCGGTGGCTGGGCCGGGGCCCGTACCCCGCACCTCTACCAGCCGCGAGTCGCTGCCCGCGCCGGGGGAGAGCGCGCAGAGGAAGAGGGCCCTGGGAAGGTTGAAGACGGCCACAGGGGCCTTCCTGTCGGGTAGGTGGCAGATCACGCAGGTACTGGGGGTCTCGGGATTGAAGGGGTGGGAGGTGCGACGCTCGGCGACGAGGGACCACCGTCCCTCGGGCGTGAGCACGCCCTGCATGGTTTCGAGCCAGCTCGACGCCGGATGGATGGTATTACCACATGATCGGGTGACAATTGATGGGCAGCAGCGTCATCAGCACTGCAGGGACGGAGTGATGATCTGTGATCACGAGGGAGGAGCACTCGCGCCCTCCAGCATGGCACAAGCCAAGCGAAGCACGACAGCGTGGCAGAGCAGCTTAGTACCTCGTCAGCCCCAAAGTCCTACTGGAGTATTGTATTGGCATCATGCAAGGATTTACAGTATACCTCCTCTGGCAGACTCATGAGAGGACAATGGCAACTGGCCGCTTCCAGCGGCAGGCAAGGCATGCAACGGGGTGGGTGCCCCCTCAACCAGACTCGATGAAACCAAAGGCGGACAAGTCCAGGGCGGACAGCAGGTCCTCCTCCGAGGGCTGTGTCTTGGGGCAGCTGGGTTCCTGCCCAGCCTCTCCATCGTCGTCTGGCAATGCTTGAGGCTGGGCTCCCTGCTGCTCGGAGTCTGATGGCACAGACCTCAGCGACTGGCCAGCCTGGTGATGGGCTCCCAGCGCGTCGGCCGACCTTTCCCCGTCCAAGGGCCGCGTGGGGATGAGGCCGGCATCACTCTCCGAGCTCGGCTCCGGGAGCGACGAGTCCGAGGACGGTGCCGGCTCGGCGGGCGCCGGCTTGGCGGGGAGGGGGCCGACGCGGCGCGGCGCTCCCTGCCGCAGGCTCATTACCACCATCCCCCTCTCCGCCGTGGAGGGCTTGAGCGACGGCCGCTCACCGGGCCCCATCGTGTCCTCCCACACGGACAGGGGGGCGGACCCGGTTGCAGCGCGGGGCCGGCCCTGCAGCGTCAGGGAGCGCGAGGAGGCGCGCTGCTGCGCACCGCTCGTCAGGGGGACCAGCCTGGACTGGCGGGGGCCTGCGCCGGCCGCCTGGCCTGCAGACCTGACAGTGGCTGCCCCGGGCTTGCTGGCGAGCTTGGAGACGGGGGCCGGGGCGGCTGCCGGCGTCGCTCCTGCGGCCCATGCGCCGGATGCGGGGGGGAGGGAGGAGACCGGGGAGGGTAGGTCGGGGATGCCGAGCGCAGGGTCTAGAGCAGGGGCCGGCGCCAACAGGGCGGAGGGCCTGGATGCCCAGCTGGGGTCCCGCCAGGTCTGCAGGGGCGTTAGTCGGCGTGAGGCTGAGGGCGTCCAGCACGAACCAGAGGCGCCAGGGACCGCCGCATGGTTCAAGCCGCAGCACCCTGATGTTCCGCAGAATGGGCCCAGCCAGCCTAGCGCCTCTGGCACACAATGCCTTGGCACTCGTCCCACTCGTCC